AAATGGGAGTACACCTTTCATAAAAAAACAGAGAAAGTGTAGTAAGGGTATTGCCAGTAAGTTAGCAAGGCAGATGCGTAGATATGACCAATGTAATTACTAAGCTACCAGAAAAATAGCTTCAGAAAGGAAAGGAGCAATAAAAGACTAAGCTTTTTCACAGAGCTTCACAATAACTACAGGAATACAGAATGGAAACCCTGAGGGCAAGAAGACATTTCTTTAATTATCAGCAGTTATCTGTCTTGGCTAAATAGGATACAGTAAAAGATACTTAATTTTAAACAAGCTCCCTCCCTTTCCTCTATTTCTCCCATTGGAACCTTGTTTGGGGAACACAGAACACTGGGCATTCTCTCATGGGTGCCATAGATGACAAAGGACTAACAGAATCTGGTTTTCCCCCTGGTCTTTCATTTGTTAGGCACCCCTCCTGGACAAAAATGTTACACAGAAGAGTGACTGCCAGACTACAATAAGGTAAAACCAGTCAGAGGACTCCAGACTTTTATTCTTATGCCTCTGTACTTATTATATGTACCTACAACTTGCAGGATTTCTTCCTTGACAATAACTATTAAAAGGACCGCCCAAAAAAGAGGAAACCTTAAGTATTTCCGTAAAAAAAAAAATGTGAAAAAACATGCAGCCCTCAGCCAAACAGCATGCAAGGCTTTTTTTTTTTCAGTTTAACCACACAGTACAGATCTGGCTTTGAGGCTACTGGCCTTTACATACAATTAACAACACAGGTTTTTTTGCTTGTATTTTTGCAGCTGCTGCCAAAATAGCTTACCTGATTCCAGTCAGGAGAATGCCATTTTAGATTTTTTCAGGCACACTTGGCATTTCTCTCCATACAGCTATCTATGATCGTGGTGTTTGGTGAATCAGCTCTAAGAGTTCCAAAGCAAGCAACTAACAGAAGCAGGTCTATTGGTTGCATCTCTACCTAAGTTTACATGCCTTAAATTCAGCAGCATAGATTGCATCTCCACTGGAAACGTGCCTCCAGCCGTACCTGCTCCCCTGCAGAATCAGCTCTCCTGTGTACACAGCTGCTGTTCCAACTACACGCAGTACCCAAACTCACACTACCCAAGGAAAATCAACTTCATCCGTTTTACCTTAGCAGCTGTCTGTACTTAGTCTGGATTGTTGTTTCCTCTCTATATAATCAGTCTGTTCTTTATAGAACAAAGAGTCAGGAAACAAGCTTAAATATTATTCAAGAATGTGATTTAGGAGACTGTACTGGCGTCTGATAGTATGTACAAAAGGGGAATTGCTTTGTCCTGTTAACAAAGTTTATAGGAAGTATGAGCATCTACAACTATCTAAGCTATATCCCCAAAACTCACAAACCTTTACTAGAAAGAAGGAACTACCACTCTGTCAATTTCCAGTGGATCCTACTTTTTTTTTTTTGTATTATTCTGAAAGGAAGAAAAAGTATGATGGCTTCTGCAAGTAACTGGAGCAAAACAAATTTTTTTTACTTTTGATTACTTAGGCAAAAGCTGATCTGAGAAGCATTGAAGAAACTATGGTAGCACTAAGACATCATTAGAGAAAAGGAATAAATTGTGGGTCGAACTTTTTTTTTTTTTTTATTTTTAAGAGGAGCTGAACCATTACAATACACACCATTAGGAACTGATCATATTACAGTGTATTAAACAGATTGCTCTACTACTTTTGGCTTACCGGTGCTGTGGTAGGCAGGCTGAGACCGTGCCAGCTGCAGTACTCGCCCAGTTTATCCACTCACAGATTTTAATCTCTGTAGCAGATACTCATTCTCTTTTTTAACTGGGGGAGCAGCTCAGCAGCACATGAATCTCTCACCAAGAGGCTTCAAGACCTGTTCTCACAAAACAGCTTCTCACTGAACTATTTTCGTTACAGCTCGTGAGCCCACTCCCCAGAGACACACATACTTGTGATTCTTAACACTGACAACTGCGTATCTTGGTTTTTCTCCTCCGCATATGAATTCTTAGAACTTTGGGTAGCAACAACCACAGGATCATTGCTGAATATAATCTGGGCCACTAATTAGCATATGCATTTCCTGTAAGAAGGAAGACCAAAGACTTTAGTTAGCAAAAAAATATCAAGTTGCAAAATACCAAATAGAACCCCAAAATATCTATCATAAGTACTATTTTTTTTTTTTTAATGTAACTAGTTGTTATTAATAGGCATTTGGTCAAGTACAGTAAACACTGAGGTAATTTCTTACCCAAAACTGAATTTCTAAGCCTACCTACTTGGACTAATCTAGATGTCAGGCACACCTGATTCCACAAGCTCTTCACTGTGCCTGTGATATCAGGGAGAGCCAAGCTGCTGGATAAAGCTGTTGATTTCTGTCATATGTATTATTCTGTTGTATGTATTATAACATCCCTCCTTTCCCACTTGAAATATGAAACTCTACCACTTAATCTTTCAGCCAAGACAGGGACAATAGCTCACCTATGTTCTCAGGGCTCTAAGTACAACCCCTGTTTAAACTAACGGTTACACACTGGAATTATTGTTGCCTTTTATAAAACCTACATGTAGTTACAGCTAAAATGCGCTAGCGATCTCTCTCCACTCATTCTCTCCTCTGTTACTTTACCTGGAAGCGGGGAAAGGAGCTCATGGCCTCCCTGGCAATGCTTAGCTTTCTGCTTGTCCCTGCAGGCTCTGGCTCTCTCTCAATCCCCGTGCCCCAGTCCAAGTCCCCTGGGCTGACCCGTGGGTCTGTCCCCAGCCTGTCACCTTTCCCCGGTGGGCTCATCCCCCTAACACAGAGGGTGACTGTCCTGGGTTGAGTGAGTGGTGGAGTTTTTTGGTGGCAGGGGAGGGGGCTATCGGGGCGGCCCCTGTGAGAAGCTTCTCGAAGCTCCCCCAGCTCCACATCAGCTCCACTTGTGTTTGGAAACTGAGCCCATCAGCTGCGCCTCTGCGATAACGTATTTCAGAAGGGACGTGGTGACGGGCAGGGGGACTTGTGAGGAGGAGTTGCTGCAGCTGCATGAACACCAAGGTCAGTGGAGGAACGGAGGAAGAAAGGAGGGGGGAGGTGTGCCGGAGCAGAGACCCCCCTGTATCCTGTGGGGAGACGGCAGGGCGGCCCCCCTGCCACCCATGAAGATCTACGGTGGAGCAGACATTGATTTATGGCCTGTGGCTCCTGCTCAGAAAATCAAGGTGCTGTGCCCGAAGAAGGCCGGGGTCTCATGGGAAAAGGTAGCCCCGCTGCTGTAATTCAGCACTGGGAGGATTGCAGCATGCGGGGGAGTCCCACGCCGGAGCAGCTCGGGAAGGGCTGCAGCCGTGGGAGGGAATCCAGTCGGAGGAAGTTAGTGACCCATGACAGAGCAATGTGGGGAACGCTGAGGCCCGTGGGAGGGACTCATGTCGGAGAAAGTTTGTGGAGGACTGTCTGCTGTGAGAGGGGGACCACGATGGAGCAGGGGGGAACAAGCTCCTGACACTCCCCTCACTGAAGATAAGGGAAGTGGCAGCACTGCCTGCACCCCCCATTCCCTGCCCCTGCGCCCCTGGGGGAGGAGGCAGAGATATCGGGAGCAGAGCTGAGCCCGGGAAGGAGGGAGGGGTGGGGGGAAGGTGTTCTCAAGATGTGGCAATGCTTCTCACTGTCCTACTCTGTTTTGTGTTGTTAGTGTCTGTAATAAATGTATGGGTTTTTTTTCTTCCCCTAACGAGTCTGCCTTTTGCTCGTGATCATAAAAGGGGGATTTTTTCCCCATCCCAGTCCTATCTCGAACCCCAAGCCTGGCTCTCTGTCCCTTCTCATTGCCGGAGGGGAAGGGAGAGAGAGCTGCTGCATTGTGGTTGGCTGCCAACCGGGCCCAAACCACGACAGTGACACACTGTGACCGCTCACGGGTGGCTGCCGGCAGCCGGGCTGGCTGGATGCAGCTGCCAGGTTTAGGGTCCTTCACCAACACGGCTTCACTACGGGCAAATCGCGCCTGATGAATTCGGTGGTCTTTGACGAATTTGGTTTAATAAGGGAAGAGCAACTGAGGTCATCTCTCTGGGCTTGTGCAAAGCTCCTGACACTGTCCCGCACGACATCAGTGTCTCTAAATTGAAGAGACGTGGATTTGACTGATGGACCTCTCAGTGGATAAGGAACTGGCTGGATGGTCGCACTCAGAGTTGTGGTCAGTGGCTCTATGTCCAAGTGCAGAGCGGTGACGGGCGCCGTCCCTCGGGGGTCGGGGCTGGGCCCGGCGCTGTTTCCCATCTTTGCTGGGACACGGGCAGTGGGATCGAGGCCCCCTCAGCACCGAGCTGTGCGGTGGGGGACACGCGGGAGGGCTGGGGGGCTGGAGCAGCTCCCCTGGGGGGCCGGGCTGAGAGAGTTGGGGGGTTCAGCCTGGAGAAGAGAAGGCTCTGGGGAGACCTTCGAGCGGCCTCCCAGGGCTTAAAGGGGGGACAGGAGAGGTGGGGAGGGACTCTGGGTCAGGGGGTGGGGGTAGGACGAGAGGGGACGGTTTTAAGGTGAAAGAGAGTAGGTTTAGGTTATATATAAGGCAGAAATTGTTCCCTGTGCGGGGGGGAGGCGCTGGCCCAGGGTGCCCAGAGCAGCTGTGGCTGCCCCCTCCCTGGAAGGGTTCAAGGCCAGGTTGGACGGGGCTGGGAGCCCCCTGGGCTGGGGGAAGGGGGCCCTGCCCGGGGCAGGGGGGGGCACTGGGGGGGCTTTGAGGACCCCCCGCCCCCCCCCGCCACCCGCGTTTCCCGCTGTCCCTCATCGAGCCACGCCCACCGCTCGGGGCGAGGCGGACCGAACCACCGCGGACGGACGCGGGGGCGATGCGGCCTCTCCCTACGCGCCGTGCCGCAGCTTCTCCTCCCCTCCGCCCGTTCCCGCCGCCCGGGCGGGCAGTGACGCGCCGAGCCCCCGCCACCAATCCGGGCGCAACGACCGCGCTCAAACGCTGTAACAGCCCGAGGGGGCGGGGTCTGCCGCCGCCGCCGCCGCCGCCGCCGCCTCAAGGGCCCCGCGGCACCCACCCGCCGCCGCCATGGTCGTGACTTCCCGGCGCGCCGCCGCTTCCCGCGGCCGAGAGGAGCTGCCGTTCTGCTCCGTGTCCCTGAGCAGCGTCCCCGCGGGCACGGTGACCCCGCTGAAGGAGCTGCTGAGGCGCCGGGGCAGCGCCAAGGATGGGGAGGGCCGCGGGGAGGGCAGCGCCAGGGATGGGGAGGGCCGCGCCGGGAGGCCTCCGCCGGAGGAGAAAGGCGGCGTGGCGGGCGGTGAGAAGCCGCCCCGGGCCGGCCCCGGCTGCTGGTTGAAGCGCCGGGCCTGCGAGCCTCCCGCCCACGAGTCCCCCGCCAAAATCTTCCAGCGGATGAAGGCCAGGGCCCGGCGGCAGGAGCGGCGGCCCGCGGGGAGCTGCCCCGGCGACCTGCTGCTGACGCCCACCCTGAACCCCGCGGAGCTGAGGCGAAAGCTGAGGGGGCCCGCGGGAGCGGCGGGCGGGCAGGGACCCGCCGGGCTGCCAGGTGCGTGTGGCCGGCCGGGAAGGGCTTCGCTCGTTCGGTTCTGCGGGAAGGCGGCCTCGCGTTCCGCTCCGCTCTGCCAGGGCCTGGGGAACGCGGCCGGAGCGGCTTCCTAGGTGTAAACACTATGGGTGCCACTGCTGGCTTTCCCCGAGATGTTCAGGATTTTTTTTTTCTTTTTTTTTTTTAAAAGCAAGTTTGGACGGAGAGGTTTTTTTAATGCTGAAATATGCCAGTAGCGCAGTCGTTTTATCTTCCCCTTTCTTAACCTTAACGGAATCCCTCCCATGCTATTTCTCCCTTGTTTCATCGGTCTGGCTTTAACTCTTCCTTCCATTCTGTTTGTGAATGGGATCGACCCTTTTAGAAAATTACACAAGTTCTTAAGTTAAAAGAAACCCCAAACAGTTGCTTTACTCTTAGCAATTCATATGGGAAGGAGAAAGGCTGCTGGAATAATTGTTTGGGGTTTGAAACCCTTCAGGGGCGGTTTCCTGGGCAGCCTGCTTTGATGGCTTTTCCAGGGTGTTCTCGGACTAGGTGGTGTAACGTGAGCTGGCAAGCGCTGTGTGCCCTCCTGGAGAGGTACGCAGGTGGGTGGCAGTGGCCTGCCTTCTGGTCCGTGTGTCCCTGCAAAGGTAACAGAAGTGTTTTTGAAGAGGGAAGCGTCCTGTCGTAGTGCCCTGTTACGCTCATGCACTGATCACCTGGAACAGGAAAACCGACTGAAATACTGGCTGATTTATCAGAAGGGTTGTGTTTAGTTGCCACGTGTATTCCTCTTTGAAGCACAGAACTTGTAAATCTCCTGTAGTAAGCTTCTGTCTGGTTTTGGATGGGGGTTTAAGACCTACCTGGTTTGTCTGTGTTCATTTTAAGACATAACTGCAGGAAACTAGGCTGAGTGCTCTGCCTGTCTTTTCTGGCCGGGACCGTGGGCAGCTGTATGCTGTTTTCACTGGGGGGATTGTTGGGTCGTTCTCAAAAGAATTTGCAGTCGGAGGTGGAGTTGCCCTAGTTTTTTGGTTAGATATGAAAAAGTCTCTCCCTGCTGTAACATAAACCCACTTGTTACTCTTAGTATTTCTGTTGTGTACAGTAAAAATGATATTAAACCATTATTGTGGTGACAGAAAAAAGGGAAACATTGCCCCCATTTTTAAAAAGGGTAGAAAGGAGGGAACCACCAACTCTTTCAGTCTGGCCTCACAGGGAGGTGGTCCAGGGTTCAAAGCCAGGTTGGATGGGGCTTGGAGGAAGGTATCCCTGCCTGTGGCAGCGGGGTGGGACTGGATGATCTTTAAAGGTCCCTTCTGACCCCAACTATTCTATGATTCTATGTTATTTTAGAGAAAGTGAAAGCTCCTAAGGCTTTCTTTTAACATCAGATTTCTAAAAGGTGTGGTTTTTTGCCCTTGCATCATCACATCAGAAATTGATAATGACTTCTAATTGACTATGAAAAGGGGCTAGTATTGGTGCTACCTGTTAGACTTTGCTACTATGAAACACATCTCATTTGCAGGCACCTCCAAGCTCCTGTCGATTCCTGGGGGTTGGGTTACATCCAGGCATGCCTACACACACCTGGGGGTGTTTCTCCCAGGCAGCTGAGGCAACATCACCCTCTGATGAAAGGGGAAGGTCGCACTGTCCATCCATCTTGGCAAAGGAAAGAGCACATACTTTTATATACTGTTTAGTATATTATGAAGTATGCACTTTGCTTCCCCTGCCCCTACATGAAGATTTTGTATTATTATTTTCCAGAATTAACTCACACTCTGATTCCTGAGAACCCAATCACAAAAGCACTAGCCCCAGACCCTCTGGTATTGGAATCCCCACAGAAGTTCTTCTTGCGCGTAAAGCAGAAACTGCAGCAGCGTCAGAGAGGTACTTGATGTTGCTCTTAAACATTTCAAAAACTTCCTTGACTTCAGGGTTTCTGTTCTTGCCTATAATCTCTCGTGTGCTTTGGCAGACTCTCATTATTCTTTGCAGTGTGCGTGCAGTGGAAAATAGAGGAAGAAACCTGAAAATCTGGTCTTTCAAACCTGGACATGGCATTAGACTTGCTTTAATTGTGGTTTAGGGCTCTGGGCTTCTGACATCGTTACTCCATTTGAGTGTGCAACCTCCCCTGGCAGCAACAGCCACCTACCTTCAGGCTCCTCATGTGGTTAAGAGTTCTTTAGAGACAAAGTGTAACACTTTGCCAGTTGAATGTGAAACTGGGTGGAAAAAGTAGTAAACCTCTTATTTGCTGGCCCTTTTGGTTTTTGATTTTTTTTTTTTTTTTTTTTTTCCCCTCCTTAGCTTTTAATACCTAAAGAGAAAAGGTTTGGTTTTGTGAGAAATTCTCTTGTATTTGTTTTTTTTTTTCAATATTGTTACTTGATAGCAACCCTGTATATGCTTCTGTCCTGTAATTCAGTTTTGAAAATTCAGATGAAGAAAATGATACGTGCCAAAGTCTTAGTAGTGTTCAGCCTCAAAATGGAACTTAATTTACCTGAAAACTCAAAACCCAAGGCATGTAGCTCCCAGCATAACAGCAGCATGGCTAGAAGTCCAGATCTTGAAGTCTGGAAAGATGGAAATATCTGAGATTTTGTTTTTTTTGAAAACAGATTTTTTTGCTCTGCAAGGAGGATTCATTAAAGGAAATATAGGAGGAATGGTAACGATACACTATTAACAGAAACAGTGTGCATTATCTTGGTTTTGGGGGAAAGTGGGATATCTATAAGGATTTAACAGCAGGGGTATTGATCTGGTGGTGAGGAAAAGCTAATCTGAACAGATTCAAAGAGTGGCTTGCTGTTAATGATTGAAATAGGTAGTGCCTTCACAATTGTTGTAGTGCTAATCTATACAAGCTCCTCTTATACATTCATAAAGTCAGCTCCATTTTTAATTTTTTACTAGTTCTCAAAATCACTGATTTCTTTGTTATTCTTTTTTTTTTTTTTTTCTTAATGGACAGATCCAACACCGTCAAACCTAATCAAGCAGAATATTCCTCCTTCCACAACTACAGAAAAGCCATTAATCAAATCTACTTCTGTTGAGCAGCACAGGAATAATCCTACGGAGTGTGTGGCTTCTAATACAGATGATCAGGATGTTTTCCTTATAGAATCAACAGATGCTGATGATGAAATGTCTCAAAATGCAGTGATTAGTCCTGTGAATTTAAAGTTCCCCCCTTGTAAAAATGAGGATCAGTTGGAAGAAAGGTGGAGAAATAGACAAGCAAAGCGTGAGGAACTTCAAGACAGAAGAGAGATGCAGACAAGTAGTAAACAAGCTGCTCATGGAGTAGAAAAGATACTGGAGACTAATTCTCAAAAGTCTTCACAGTGCTTTTGTAGTATTACGCTCTCTTCTCCCAGGGCCTGCATTTCAAGGAAGCAAAAGCTGAAAAAAGGCCGTGAGGTCCCTTTGCGTAAACCAGTAAATATGGATCAAGTTGCTGGCAAAGCAGATGAAGAGGTGGGAGAACTTACTACTTCAGGGCAACTGGTATATTCCTGTGGGCTGCTTGTAGTTCATAGCTGTGACGTATTTATTTTTTTTTCTTATCAAAAGTAATGAGCACTCAGAAGACAATAAACTATTATTTTATTAGATCTTACTAGTAAACGCTTCCATCTGAAGGATTTTTTTTCCCCTACTCCAGGATGACAGTGTTCAGGGGTTTTTTGTAGTGTGTTTTTTTTTGTTTTGTTTTTTTGTTTTTTTTTTTTAATAAAAGAAGGGCTTTTATTTTAGTATTCAGAAGCCACAGAATGGGCTGAAAGAGTTCTGTATATGAAGGAGCCTCCTACATCATCTCTTTAGTATGTTAATTGCCATGTGTTGGTATGATGGACATGAAACAAATTGCTGGCCAATCCAGCTTTTGACTATCTATGCAAAGCCATGGAGGAGAGATCTTTCCAAGCTGTAGGCTAGGGATGGTTCTGAAGTTAACTGAATCTGTGCAGCAGATGGTGAAGTAAAAGTCTTGGCTTTCCTACAGAATATCCAAAGGTCTGTTGAATTATGTTGGACAAGAATCTTTTCCTAGGAGACTAGTCTTCAGATGTTCCTTTCAATTCAATACATGCCTGGCAGTGTTTACAACTTCCTGAATAAATCTCAAGGGAAGTGGTGTATTTTGAAGTGTGCTGCATTCCTCTGGTTACCTTAGGAAACTGGTGGAAGCATTGAGACCAATCAAACAGATGACTAAATGTAAGAAGGGTGGCATAGTGTTGGTATGTTTTGTGAGGAGCTTTCTGGATTTGCTAGAGGTCTCGGCCAATGACTTTGTCTTCTGAAAGTCAACATTAAATTACTCAAGCTTCTATAACTTAAATGCCTGTCTTCACTTGTGTATTAGACTCAAGCTTGATTATGCTTCAACATTTATGTGTATAATGGTTATTTTCAGTTTTTCTGGTCTGGAGGATGGTGCCTAAATATCTTCTGAAGTTATATAGGTGTTAATTTCTATTTTGCTGATTCCTTGGTGATATTGCATGGCTTAATCTAATGTAAAAATTACTCCTTTTTTTTTTTCCCCCTGTATCAGAAAATTGTCTACCTAACCCATTGGAGAATTAAAGTGCTGGATGGTAGTGCTGCAGTATGTGTTGAAGGAAAAGAGAAGTAAGAAAAAGTTTTCTGATATAAATGCAATGTAAAACATGTTGGTGTGATTTCAGCCTCCGAGCTAGAAAGGCTGTATCCCATCTTTGCCTGGCTGAATAGCTGTAGCTTTGACACTTGGTATTCTCAGAGTATCTTGGTAACTGTTGGAAGCAGTTTCATGCGCTTCTGCCGCTTTCCTCCCCGGCCACCCGGAACATGCCCCTTTGCTTGCATCCTAACCCTTGTGGCAGTGCTTACAGCTCTTACCATTTTTTTTTTTTTTTTTAAAACATAGTTATCTATCTTCTCACTAAGCGTGCTGAGTCTGTTTGCTTCAGAGCCTGCAGCCGGGCTGTGCTGGTGCACGGGGAGATGAGGGACTGCGCGGCTGGAGGCTGAGGAGTGGTGGAGGAGAAAGAACCTGGGTTGTCCTGGCTTAGCTTGGCTTGGGTGGCTGTAGGAGCTGCACCCTCATGGAACTTACTCTTAGCCTTTTTTAAATACAAAGTGATGTTATAGTTTAAACTTTATCAAGGAAGAGGTGAATTCCTTCAGGTAGGCAAGAGGTAGAGTGCCTACATACAGGAAACTACTGGTTAAATTATTATTTCAAAGTCCAGTCCTCAGTCTAGTAGATTGCCCAAACTGGTGCTGACTTAGGGGTCTTATGAGCTTCTACTTAATTTCACAAAAATTCTGTTCAGTGGCTGCTTTAAGTCAAACTTGGTGCAGACTGCTGTATTATTACTCCTATAGCTGTGTGGTGAACCATGCCAGCAACTGGTCCACCTGGAAACTGACTCTGCTCTTATTTTGGTTCTGTTTTTGCTCAGACTGCATTCATATAGCTATAAGATCAGGAAAACAAGTGTCAGAACAAAGGACAGATTTAGCTTGCCATACGGTTGTTTGAAGACATTGTGAAAATACGCCCTTGGACGAGCGTGTTCTACTCTTTGTGTAGTTAGTAACTACCTAACATAGTTACTTATCTACTGAAAATTTGGAGCCTCACTCAACAGCAGTAGCACTGTGAAAGGAAGTAATTCAGTGTGCGTACTGAGAGGTGTCAGGAGGCTACAACACTCTGGGGTGGGGTTTGTAGTAGGAATTGACATTTGTTTCATAGCTCTATGGAAACAGCTGGTCCTCTGTTTTTGCACCCTTTGCTACTAGCAACATGTTCTCTTTTCATTTGTGGTGGTGCGTATCTGATACATGCTTCCTGCATGTGATGTTTGATTTGCTTTATAGTCTCTTTGAATTGACTTCTGTTAATACTTTGTGACAAGTTATACAGTTGAATGTTTTCACTGTCATCTTGGGTTCCAGTCCTTAATACTGTTCTGTAGTTTGGTCTGTTGACTACTGCCATAAATGTATATTTTAAAAAACTCCCCCCAACACTCTCTGTAGATTTTCTGTTTTAATGCTTGGGTCTGCTTTTTATTTTTCATGGAGAAGACCCTTAATTTCTTAACGACTCCAATTTTTGCACATATTAGGGATCCTTCTTCAGTTGTTCTTGTCTTTAAATAGGAAAGTCAGAAATAAATACAATCATCCTGGGGCAAATATACATTTGACCTGTATAATGCAGCAGTAGTTCTGTAACTTGCATAGCAGTATCACTGCAGCAACGAGCTGGATGGAGTCCTTCAGTCCACTTTGCTTCTGCAGCTTAATGTCAAGCTAATGTTCTGTGACCAACATTTTCAGTAGTTGACATGTTCGTTTTTGTCACCTGTCCAAGTGTTAGACAAGGCCAGAACTATTTCTCTTCCAGGCTAAGAAAAGAAAACCTAGCACGTCCTGCCAGGGTCTATATTGCTTGTAAAATACTGCCAGTCTCATATGGAATATCAGTATTCTAGTTTTGAATTCTTCCTTTTATGAAAACAATGTTTTATTTCTGTTCTTCATGTTTTCTGTCTTTTCTTAGAGATATGAAAGATGAGCTTTGGTGTAGTAGTGCAATTGTGGAACGCGTAGCACGGAACAAAGTTAAATCATCGTCTGGCTGGACCTACTCACTACATGGAAAGATAAATTCAGATTTGATGAGGAAAGAAGGTAAGAAGATGATTCTTAATGCAACATTGCAAACTGAGAAGGGCTTTAGATTTATGATTGAATGTACTGCTGAAGTGAATGTTTTGCCTTATTCTGCTAATTGGACTCGGTGGGTATTCATCACTCCAGCATCAGATTTCTGAATACTATTTAATGTTAATTGGTGCTGCAGGTACAGAGAGGGCTTTCAGAGCATGAAGTTGGCTAGTAGGTACATTCTGTTAAAGAAACTGTTTTTTTGCTAAGATTGCTTTTATGTAATTTTGGTCGAGGCTTTGGCATTTCAGTAGTGCTAAGACATTCAAATAGGGATTGTTTATACACTGCTGAAATGACTCTGGTGTTTGCATTCTATCTGTGACTTGCAATCCAGTAATTAATGACTAGCTCTGCAATGCTACATAGAATTTCTATTTGGAGACAGACTGGTTATGGTGTCGGTGCTTTATAATTTAGTAAACTGATGCATCTTTAGGATCCAAGTGGTATGTTTTACCAAATCTAGAAAGACTTCCTGCTTCAGATTGTTTTAAAGCACGTGGTATTTTAAAGGAAACTCGATTTACACACAGAGTTAAAGTTAGGCTAGGCTTTACTCCATTTTTCTTGCTTCATGTGCATCCTCTGTCATGTTCACTAGTAAGTGAGCTGCCGTGTTAGTGCTTACAGACAGCTCTAGGAACGTAAAGATCATGTTGGTAATCTTTGAGAAGCTGTGCAGGTTAGGGGATGTCCCAGAAGACCGGAAGAACCCCCCTCTACCACAAGGGCTTAAAGGAGGATCCAGGAAGTTTATAGGCCCGTCAGTTTTACTTCAGTCCCTGGGGAAAGGTCTGGATCAAATCCTCCTGGGGGGCTACCACAAGTCACATGAAGCATGTGACTGGGAAAAGGCAGCATGGACTCACCCGGGGCAAATGGTGCTTGACAACCATGATTGCCTTCTACAACGACGTAACCTGCTCGGTTGGTGTGGGCGAGCGGTGGACATTGTCCACCTGGATTTCTCCAAGGCTTACCATACGGTTCCCCACAGCTTCCTCCTGGAGAGACTGGTGTGTGACAGTCTGGACAAGGGGTCTGTGCAGTGCCGGGGGAACTGGCTCCTTTTCAAACTGGGAACCTGGCACAAGGGGGGTTCCCCAGGGACTGATATTGGGACCAACGCTGTTTAATATCCTAAGTGATCTGGATGGTGGGATCAAGGGTACCCTGATGAAGTTTGGTGGTGATACCAAACTGAGTGGGGAAGCAAACGCTTCAGGAGGGAGAGCCACCCTTCAGGAAGACCTGGATAGGCTGGAGGAGTCACTACCCCACTCTGCTCAGCGCTTGTCAGGGCACACCTGGAGTTCAGTTTTGGTCCCTGCTGTGCGAAACCGATGTGGCCAGGCTGGAGAGGGCCCGGAGAAGGGCCACAAAGGTGATCAAGGCACTGGGCAGCTGCCATGTGAGGAAAGGCTGAGAGAAGAGAAGGCTGAGGGGAGACCTTATCCCCATGTCCCAGTATAGAAAGGGGGGGCTGCAGAGGAGATGGAGACTCCCTGTGTACAAGGAGTCCCATGGGAAAGATGAGGGGTGAGGGGTCCGAGTCACTGCTGGGGAGATTCTGCCTGGGCACAAGAGGAAAATGTTTCACTGTGATAACAATCAGCCTCTGGAATAATCTCCCCAGGGCGGGGGTGGGCTCCCCAGCATTGGACCCTTTTAATGTGACAGGGAGGGACAGGGGGCTGGGCCAGCTTGTTCAGACTGGGCTTGTGCCAGAAAGGTTGGACCAGCACATCCTTGAGGTCCCTTCCAAGCTGGTGTCTGATGATCTGTGGCTCAGATGGAACAAATGCTTGCCTTAATACAGGTGTGCCTTGTGTGTGATACCATGCTTTTTGAAGGAGCATGTATGCACTCTTCGCTCCTTCAGGCCCAGCACAAGGCATCCAAAGTTGTGTCCATGGCTTTAATTTTTCTTCTCATTTGCAGTACTGGAATGCATTCTGATAAATACCTGACTTGACTCCTCTCAGCTTTGACTTTTTGTTATTCATTCCTCTGCTAAATACTCGTATTTCTTTTTAATATTCTGAGATGGAAAAGTGACAGCAAGAGACTTGTGAACAGAGTGGCTCAAGTACTAGAGAGGTTTCCTAAGCCTAAGAGCCCTAAGGGACTGTGCTGCGTCAATTCCTCTCGTTTTCAGACTTAGCAATTACGGCAAAACGTCCGTCCTTCTCAGCTTCCCCCTCGCCTCCTGACATTCCTCAACACACAAAATAACTGTCATAGGGTTGGCGGGGAAAATACCCTGAACAGATTCAATATTGATACATGAATCAGAAGTTGAAAACAAGTTAATGCAGATAAAGAGAGGAGATGCCACATACCCAGCGTAAACTGAGGATTTCCCTCTAGCAGCTGGGACCGGCAGCCATGGCACCATCAGTCTGTGAACAGAGATGCACCAGTACAGGAGTACTCGCCTGTGGGAAATATTTGACTGATGTGTAGGGATGATTCTTCAAAGCAGCGAAATCACTAATGAAAGGTGTTGCAGTAAGAGCAGTGGTGAGGCGCTTACCTGCTTTTGCCTTGTTTCTGGAAGCAGTTATTGGGAATCTGGGCCTCCAGGTGTGCTGCCAAATCCATCCACTGCTCATTGGTGATGAAACTGCAAAGGACAGTAGAGGCTGTTTAATTGCACAGGCTCTGTTCCCGGAAAGGTGTTTGCTGGGGTTGGTGTCCCAACAGCCCCACAGCAGGGATGTTGCACCCAACGCCCCGAGGCCCTTGCTCCGTCCCAGCCTGCATCTCTGCAATGGCACTTGCTGTGCTTTGCCTAGAGCCCTTCCTGGCCACCAGGAAATAATTTATCCAGGCCATGTAAAGAACAAACTTATGTGTGATAATCAAATGCTACTCCTAAAGCATTTTAAAGGAGCTGAAGGGTGAAATAACTTGCATGTAACGCCTCACAAAAACCTGCTTTGATACCGGTGGGCCTGATGGGTGGCCGATGTAAGGTTTTTTGAGGAAGTTGTTTCCCACATCACTTGAAGGAAGGCAGACTTTGGCATTCATATGAGGTAAACCAATAGAAACTAACAATGAAGGGGGTTGGTGGATGTACAGATAGTGAGGTATGGGGGAAGGCATTACAGTGCTACTACAGATGAAGCAATGCCTCGCTGTGGTGTAAGGCTTCTTTGATGCGGCCCCTAGACTTTGGGCTTCTGGGAAGATTGTAAGGATGCAAAGTAGTTATGTGGTAAGGAGAAGGAGCTTCTGTGGATTTAAATAACAACAGAAAACAAGAGGAATATAAAGAATCCCATAATGATGCGGGCTCTTGAGCAGTTTCATAAGCTTTACAGAAAAGAGCATGGGCTGGGGAGCAGCGGCTGTAATCTGATGTTGCTAAGTTGCATCGGGATGGCAAGGGTGAGTGCTGGCCACAAAGCACGTCATAGGAGCTTCAGAATGGGCATTAAAACAATGTGACAGAATTGGTTTCATAGGTTGGTTTGGGAGGAGTAAGGAACTGAAGGAGTTAATGCCTCAGATGTTCATTGAGGAGGAGGAAAGCCTCAGGGAAAAGTTGTGGCCTTTTGTGATTAGTCTCAGGAAGGAACTGTCTGCCTAAGGAAGCCCAGAGTTCATCAAAGGGTGCACCGTGCTACTCCCTTCGGGTTGTATTGCTGAATTCCTTAGATAAGCCTCAAAATGGGGTGACGTAGACCAAATAAAACCCTATGTTCAGGTTAATGCCTACACTTCACTTTACGGCTGTACCCTTGAAGGGAAGGGCTGAACGGATTGATGAGAAACGACTGACAGCAGATGGAGCTAAAGGGCCAAGAAGCAAAAATGGAGGAAAAAATAAAGGTGGTAGGGGGAAGCACACACAGAACCCATGCTCCACCTCTTCCTTGTCTCTCATGGAAATGAGTTAGTGGAATCTGGGTGTGCACCCACCACCCAAGATTACCAGACCTGAGACAACACTGAAACCCGGGATGATGATCCAAATTCTTTGACTCTCTTCTTTTTCTTTTATTTCTTTCTCTTTCTTATAGATTTATCAATCAGAGGCTATATTGCTTACTATCCTTTTCCAAGTTCAAGTTGTTTCTAGTGCAAGTAAAGCATTCAAACTGGTCATTAATGTCATTTCACTTTAATTTAACCTGAGGGGCTCACAAACACATTGGCTCCCTGGGCTCATTCTGGGTCATAACAGGAGGGACCTTCAAAGATCATCTAGTCCAACCCCCATGTGATAGTATATGATGATATATGATTGTAAGGCTCTCAGCTCGCTGTTAAAACTGAGGAACAAGGTTGGGGGGGGTTGGCAGATGGCTCTGTTAAGAGCTCAGCCTCATGCTCACTAGCAGTCATACAACTTGACCATTGAAATTTAACGGAACAGAAAGATTGCTATTGGCCGTAAAACCCATACGACACAGCAGCATCATGAAGACTGAGTACAACTCCACATCTTTCCTTCCCCCTCCCTGCAGAAACCCCAACAGCTTACTCTCAGAAAGAATACTGAAGAAACAGCAAATGTGTGGAGAAGAATGATGTGTTTAAAGTTACCAAAAGGCTTTCACAGGGCAAAGAATAAACTAAGCTAAGACTTTGTGGCTGGGAAACGGGGGAGGAGGTGGATGAGAGGTTAATGAAATAACACAGGGAATGGAGATGGTAAATAAAGGTCAGTTGTGTGTAGTCCCTTGCAGTAACAGAATAAAGGAAATAAAAAAACACCTAGTAGTGGGGAAATAAAACATTTTTTCATGCTACGTGCATCTCATTTGTAGAAACCTGTGCACAGGATCTTGTAGATGCTGAAGTTGTACAGGAGTTCCATTGGAGACTCAGCAAGTTCCTGGAAGACAAGGTCCTTTAGGGGTTTTAAATACATAGAAATCAGTGTTGATTTCTCAGTTGGAGGTTGGGAGATTACTTGGTGGGAATATTCCTGTACGCTCGCCTTGCTTCTGTACTTCGGCCTTTGCTGCTGGTATCCTTTCCCAGGTCAGGGCTAGCTGGATCTTTGGCTGTACACTAAATAAACTAATGAAATAATGCCTTTCTCTTTCCCCATCCTCCTGGAGGAGCTCAGCTCCTGGAACTGTTGGTGCAGGCTGACATTAATGGCCTTTCAGCTTCAGCTCCCGAGATTAACAGTTTGTGGATGTGATTTCTTTTTTTGTTTTTTTTGTTTTGTTTTTTTTTTGACTCGTGCCTGTTGAAGGCTTTCTAGTAAAGATACTGCTCCCCAGAATTTCAGGTAACCAGGCTACCCCTTAAGCTTGTTTTCTAATCACGCGTTGCAGACCCCTCTTGCAGAAGTCCACAGCTCTCGCGGTCTCGGTGTCAGAGGCTGGACGCTGCGGGTTTTTCAGACGTGAGCAGGCAAGGGGTGGCTCGGGGTTGTGGTTCTGCACCCGTGCAGGTCCCCCCCTCTCTGTGAGAAGGCTCCATGATAACAGCTGTCAGTGTTAAATGGCCGGTGTTTTGCTCTGAAAGGCTGAAGCTCAAGTGATGCTTTTTTCTTTTTCTGTTGCAACAAAGGATTACGCTATACTTTCGCATCAATATTTTTTTTAGGGGTTTTTTTTCCAATTTCAGAGAGAAAGCTAGACTCATTCTTTTGTATCTGTACTACCTGAAGACCTTCCCAGGTTATATTGTTGCTGGATACTTTGAGTGCACCTGATCCTGCTGCAGTTGTTCTTTGTCTCAGCCTCGTGAACGGTGTGTGTGCTCTTGACTGAACAGCTTCCGTAGCAAAGTGAAATAAAGGTTTCCCCCAAGTGGAATTTCCTTGATGTGGCCAGTCCCAAATAGCTTAGCCCCTCAGGGCGCCTGCAAACCCCAGGCTCCCCGAGGGGCTCCCGCTGCTCTGCAGGGAGCCTCGTGCCAGTCCCGCACCGCGGCTGTGCCGAGTGGTATTCCTGCCCTTTCTGATTAGAAGTGCTCAGCGATTGGTAATGCTGCTTTGGTTTCAAACAGGATTTCCCTACCGTTTCATCAGAAGATTTGCCTATGGATTTCCCCAAAATTGGGCGGAATGTGTTGAGAAGTTTCTTGAGGAAAAAAGAAGGTAATTTATTTGGGGATTCTGTTTCATTGCAATGTTAAGTATTTACTGAGATTTTGCTTTTTAAGAATACTATACTAGAGGAGTATAAAAGATTGTACATGTGTGCATGAAGACTATGTTCCAGGCGAACACCGGCCACTCCTTTGGAAGGATGTCCTTTTGCCTTTCTTCATTATCCTGGCCTGGTTTGGTTCCACTTGCTCACCCAGCCTCAGAGCAGACCGAAGGAAAGGTCTCTCGGCCCGAGTGCCTCGCACGGTGTCTGTGTGAGCACAGCTGCACTCTGCTGTTGGGCTTTTGCCAAGCTGAGGAGGAGACTTTGAGCTTCTGTAAATGAATGTGTTGTTAAAAGGCAACTGCTTCAGATAGTTAATGTTTCTTCTATTAAACTCCATTAGGAAAGAAGTAAAACAAAATACTGGAGAGATTAAAGAGCGTGACTCGGTGGTGGGTACGGAGATGTTGAAAGATGCAGAAGAGTCAGCAAGAGAAGTAAAGAAACCTGAAACCAGAAACAACACCACCTATGAAGTATTGCCCGAGAACGATGAAAGCGCTTGTGGGTATTTAATAATCCTTTTCTTCAGAAAGATGTTGGGGGTTTTTGAGAACTGTTTTCCCTGGAAAAAGATACCTATTACCTGTCTGTTTTCTGTCTTGTTAATTAGGCTGTATGGAAGAGGTAACAAAACTCCTGTTGGGTGAAGTTCTTGTTTGTGTTTACTTAGACCGCAGTGATCAGCAGCGTTGACTTGTTTCTTTATTTCTGGTTTAGCTGATGTGCAACAGCTTTGAAGAGTGTTTGAGGGCTGTCCTGTGGTTAACCCTGGGAAAGAAGCAGCACTGTTTTGGTCTGTAGCACCTGAAGGCAATGACTCCAGAGCTGTTCATTCTGACAGCAAACCGGAGTTAACTTTTTTCCCAGTTGCTGTTTTGCATAACTTCCTCTCTTCTTCTCACTCCTCCTGGGACGCCCGTGGGGTTTGACGCCTCTGTCAAGGCTCCATCCTTGGGACTCCTCCCTGGCAGTGTCGTGTCCGCCCCCCCAGTCCCCACCTTTTTTTAGTTGGGTTAGTTTAAACTCCTATCAAATTCTTGAGCAGGTTTATTTAATGGCATTTTAATGTTTTTGCCACAGTTGAGGCATAGTGACGGCAACTGGGGATGGACAGAATTGGTTGTGGAAAAATTCCTTAGGCTGGCTTTGTTTCCAGAGAACATGGCTGTAAAGCCCTAAGCTAATGATCCACCTGGTTTTCCTTTGCGTTGGAATGTAAGCCTAGCTTTGTTAGGGATGTAGTAACCTTCGGTTTTAGCTTCTTTTTAATGTCTTGTCATAGGTTGCAGTAGTGCTTTGGCCAAACTTCATTGTACTGTCAATACTATAATTAGCTTTTCTTGATAACACTATGAAAGCTGTTTTATTTTTTCTCTCGTTACTTAGGATTTGTTCAGTGTGACAACTTTTCTTTATCACTCAACCTTCCTACGTGACCTCTACAGTGTTTACAACCTTCTAAACAAAGAAAAAGTAGAAATTTCACAAAAGTAAATTTTACAATTTGTGAATCATATTAAGTTGTGCTTATTTCTAATCTGAACACTTTTCAGAGAACAACATAACACTGCAGTAGGTTTTACGTTTTCCATGTAGTCAGTGCAAATGGGCTGGTCTAAGCACAGTGTTGCTTGTCTGCTTAGGTGAATTTTTAATAGAATATTTGGGACAAAACTACTTTTCTTCATTTTTCTTGTAGGTAGAACGCCAAAACGGAGTTCAATGTTGACTAACTCGAGCAGAGTTTACACCCGTAGTGGCCGTCTTGTTATACCACCATTAAATTTCTGGTGTGGGCAGCGTGAGTTTGTTGATCAAAATCTAGATGTTACTGTCAGTGAAGGTGGAACAGATTATGTGTCCATGGTAAGATTCTTTTGCATATTGTTACTTTAATGTATGTCAAATATAATGAATAAACTTGCCTAGGTATCTTACCAGAGAGAGTCCAGCTCTAGCCAAGTACCTGAAGAGGCAGGAAATCTTGAAAACATTATAAAACCATTTTAAAGCAAACAAAAAAATAGTCTGCATCTGTATTATCATGTAGTTGTTGTTGTCTGTAAAATGGGGATCATGGGGAGTTACTTCTGGAAAAGTAAGTTGGGTTGTTTTTTTTTTTTTTTTTTGGAGAGATAACTATATCGGACAGGAACCTGCACGGACATGCTGCTTTGGGTCACAGAGGTTCCCGAGTAAAACATTTCCTGCAGTACTGTGGTGCCGGGTCCGTGCCAGTGGGGTGCCAGTGCTGCAGGCAGGGGTTTGGGTTCATCTCCAGTGCTCCCAGTTCTCCCCTTCCCGTGCAGGGTGTCCCGCTCACTAGGAGCAGGTATCGCTGCATTTCTCACATCCTGGTCTGTCCAGGTCACCTCAGTTTTGATTGAGCTGTGCCGGTCTTATTTATTCTGACACTTTCAGTGACTGATGATATTGTGATAACGAATGAAGGGAATCGGTGTTCTTTGTGGTAGCTCTGAGCTTTTTTTTTTTTTTAATCTCTAAGATTAGTCGGCTTTATGGACTGAGGGGGAGCACTAGCACTGGTCATCAGTGCCAGCAGTGAGGATTTATGTCCAACTTACTGCCAACTCAAGCAGTTCTAGGCCTTGAGATTTTAACTTGTGTTTTAGAATATTTAAATTTAAAGGGAGCCTGGCTAAGTCGCTTTGGTTGCATGCATTTGTATAAACACCTGCGTTCATCAGTTAGGCCTTAGTAGATGCTGGTCCATGTAGGTGACTCTCAAATCTACCAATCCTGTAAAACATCTGGCTTTTTGAGAGCTGGCATCGGTAGGCTTCATATGTAATCTCTTGCAGAAGTTTAGATTAAATTGTTTTATTTTGAAGATGCTCAGTAGTGAAAGATCCCAAAGAAAGGCCACTTTCATCTCTGAGAAGAATAAAAGAAAGGAAGTAACGAAGGCAACAAAAGAAAGACCCAAAAAACAAAGCAAAGGTAAAAAAATGTTGCGTTTCTTTTTTTGAAGTTATTGACTCGAATCAGTGGGATTATGAGTTAGGTGCTGGAGCAGTATGGTGATGTCCTGTTAACGCAAAGAAATGATTTAAATCTCTCAGTGGTCTGTTGCTTCTTCTATGAAGAATTACCGGAGTAGCATTAATGCCTAGTTTTACAGCTCTGATAGAAACTGTGTTTGTAAATCACTTCTTTATTTACATAATGGGAACATGCAGATTTCTTTCTGGAAATTGAAAGGAAAGGATTATGATTTTTTTTGAACTTTCTGCTCCCGTACTTTGGATCTCTCAACATAGCTGTTAGAGGTGACTTGAGAGAGCCTGAAGAGAAGCAGACTTCTGAGTCCAGTGAACTGGTGGTCTGGCTTTACTTTTAAACTGGATTAAGTAAAATCAATGCAATGCCTGGGTTGAAAAAGAAGGCGTGTTAACAGAGTTTTAAAACCTTTAAAAAGATTTGTGAAATAACTGAACCCTACAAACAATGTAAAATACGAAACAGAAGTTTCTCTTTTAAAGCAGTGAACATTTCCTGCCGAAAAGCTATTTGGAGCTCAAGTAAAGCTTTGGGGATGTTGGTGTTTGCTCGATCTCAGTCACAGCATTTGAGCAACATTTTCTGTTTACTCTTTTATTCTCTGCTGGATACTTGTGCCCTTTTCTAGCCTTGATAATCCTTCCAGTCGCCTGGAGGCAGTCTGTCATGGGAGTGAGCTGGGCAGGGACAGGACATCCCCTGCGCTGGAGGAGCCCTCCCCACCGCTGCCTGTCCTCCCTCCCGGTGAATTCAGTGCTCGGAACTGGTTTCGTGCCACGTGTTCTTTGTCAGGGTCGTGTGTAAATGGATTTTCTGTGCTTCCTGACTGCTGTGCAGAGGCCTGGCCTGCCTGCCAGGACGCCTGTCGTGCTCCTGCAGAATTTAACCCCAGATGCATAGGAGCCTGTGTATGTGTGAGGGCACAAGGCCTTCACTTCGTCCTTCCCAGATACACGTATGGGAAAGGAGGTCTGGTGACCTCGGGAAGCTTCGCTGGGTGCTGGTTGTGCTCAGCCGTGCTTGGTGAAGTTACGGACATCCCTTAAGAGCAGAAATGAGTTTATAGTTCTCTGCCAGGTAAAGCTTTGGAAATGGGTTGCAGATTATCCCTCTCTTAAATGGGGAAGGGGCAGGCAGTCCAGAGCGCGATGAAATGTTTCCTCGCATCACCGACTTCCCTCCCGAGTGATGTTTTGCCGTGTTTTGCCGTGTTTTGGAGGGAAGCAGTGTTTGTTTTGTATCCCAACACGACTGTTGAACGGAGCGTCTCCGAGCGTGGGATGCGTTGGGTCCCGCTGCAGGCCAGCCTTTGCTTGTCTGACAGCACAGGAAGGATTTACATTACAGGGTGTGATATTTTGCTGACACCATCTCTTTCAGGCAAAAACAGTGAAAAAGTTCCAAAGGTTCCAGCAAGGTCCAAAAGGGAAACCAAGTCCTCTGGAGGCAAGGTGGCCAGGCTCATCATTTCAGATGATGATGATGAAAGTGATGGTGTGATCAATAGTCGAAAAAACAAAAGGCAGCTTTTTGTTAAGCTGACTCCCTTAAATACTAAAATGGTAAACAGCCATAGCGGTGACAGCAGAAACCCAAGAATGACAAAGGAAAAGAGAGAAACAGAATGTGGCGAATTGAGTATGTATCAGCAGGCTTACAAGTGCTCGTTGAGGTCACCCAAACGACTTCCAGGCAAGCGTTTAACAGAAGAATTGTCAAGCAAAGATGAGGAAGAGGAATCCAGTGAAGACACCCCACTGTTTGTCAAAAGGAGATACAAACCTTCATTGAAACGAGACACTCAGAAGTCAAAATCCTCCTCTAAAAGCTCAGAGGACGATGCAAACAAGGTGTCATGCGAGGAGAGGCCAGCAAGCCACGCGGCTGGCTCCCAGCGCGTGCCGGCCGGGGAAGGGAACGCTCCGTCGGGCGAGTCTGGGCCTTCCCACCCGCCCGGTAAGGCCGTCAGGACACGAAGCAGAACCAACACTCCGAGGTATTTCCTTGAATTGGACACTGAGCCTGAAACCAGCGAGGAGGAATTTTGTAGAAAGAAAAGGAATTCGAAAGTATCTGATAAAAACCCAGACTGTAAAGTTTCTAATACTGCCAAGTCTTCAGCAGCAAAATCAAGAGAACCTGGGAGGGAAAAGGTGCAGAAATCTCTAGAACTTTTTCCGAGGGCGACTGAAGATTGGTCTGAAGAGGAACTACAGAGGCTCTACAGGCAAGTGGCTGCCCTGTCTGCGTGGGGCAGAGTTTCCCTGGGGCATCAGGGGGCATAATGTACTGGAGGGTCTGGATTTGGAATTTTCAGATCCAGTCCGTTTCATGTTATTTTAAAGGTTGCCTTTACGTTTTAATTCCCTCTTAAGAAACAGATTTTGTTAACAAAATTAAAACTGGTTAAGTAAAGGAGACAGCTGAGTATTGGCTAAAATAATGGCAGATGCCTGAGCCTATAGCAGCCCCTACCACTGTCATCAGTGTAAAGTGAGAGGAACGCAGATATTAGGCAAAATTTTGTGACTCTAGTCCTCTGCCTGTTTTTCAAAGACACATACTTGTTAAAAGTGATAAACATTCCTATGAGTCCAATTGAAGAACATGAAGAGGTAAATAATATGGTAAAAGTATTCATATTTGTGATTTAGACGGTAAGTCAGAGGAGGCATATTCTCTCCCCTAATGGAATAAAATGTTAAACACGACATGGTTTTGTATTCAAGTTTTGTAGAGGGGAGATTAACTGCGAGACTGTTCAATTAACGCATTGGCCAATTACTTAAACTACTGGGCAGTATTTAATACATTCGTGAAGTAATAAAATGCCCAAGTTTGGGTTTGTTTCTTTTAAATTAGAAACCTGAAAAGGCGTGAGCTCGTGTCTCGGGCGGCGGGTGGGGAGGGACGGACACCTGCTAAAAACAGGGCAGAAATTTCTCTCTCTGTTGGCTTAGACTGTTCAGATAAATCTGCATGTTTTGAAGTGTCTCCCGCGAGCGGCCTCTCTGCGTGCGAGGCGCAGCCGGGGCCCTGGGCGCGGGGGGTCCGCTCGGCGGCGCCGGGCAGGCGCCTCGGCGTGACGGGGGCTGCGGCTTCGCTCTCCCGGCAGGGCCATCGCCGCGCTCCCGAAGCACAGGAACGGCTTCTGGGTGGAGGTGGCCATGGCAGTGGGGTCTCGCTCTGCTGAGGAGTGCCACCAGAGGTACACAGAGGAACAGGCGAAAGGCTCCAAGGCGCGTGCCAAGAAGAGTGCCGTTAAACCGGAACAGCAAGGTACCGACAGCTTGTTTCTGGGTATTTTGTTCTCTTTAAATGATTTTAAATTCAGTGTTTACCGTGTACTGAGAGATACAGACATAAACGTACGTCAGCGTCCGCAGGGAGGAAGGTTACTTTTGGTACTGTAAAGGTTTGTTGCAGAGCTCAGGGGATGTCGTAAAACACTGAAGTAACGAGAAAGGATATTTTTAGAGTTTTCCAGTTTTTGGCATGCTTGGAAGCCTTAAACTGGCCTTGACAGCTAATGGAAAACAGCTGTTTATATCTGAAGAGGTTCTGGGAGGCCCTGGCAGATAGCGAGCTACTTGTAGATCTGTCTGTCCAAAACGGATCTGGGGTGCTTGGGCGCACTAGGGGCAGCGTGGAGTAAGAACAGGGAAGTTGCGTTCGCTGGCGTCTGGCACCGACGTGCCTGTTGGTGTTCTGCAGTCGGGAATTCACGCTGACGGGGAGCGAGCGTGCCCTGGAGTGAAGGGCACAAGATGCCCAATCCAGTTACTTAGCGGAGGGAAGGTTGTGAGGCTGCAGTAAGTGCTCAGGGAAGGAAAGGCGTTTGGTAGCAGCTCCTCTAGCTGGCAGAGGGGCCATCACTCAGCCTTCGGATGCTGGAGCTTGAGGTGTTACCCAGCTGTGGGCAAGGGTGACTGGAGGTGTTGCTCCGTGGTTACAGCTGGGTGCGAGCTCTCCATTTCCTCAAAGCGTTAAACCAATTCTTCCCCTCCAAACGCGGTGCCCCGGGTGGGCTCCGGAGCCCCCGAGGCAGAAGAGGGCAGAGGATCTCAGCAGGTTTCCCTGCCCTTGGCGTCAGTGAACTGTGGCTGTGCAGCCTTGGAAAAGCAGCAGATCAAGAGTCCCAAGGGCAGGACAGTGCGTTTTATTTTTACTTGAATGTGTCTCTGAAATGGTTGTTGCAGTTACGGAATGTGCACGAGGATCTGCTGGGCATCACTTTTGTAATGAATTCGACAGTGGTGGTATTGTTCTCCGGTGTTCTGCAGCATAGGTAGAAACCATCTTATTTTAACTATTACAGTATCAAAATTCCCGGCACTTGGGGGGTTAGGAGAGCTTTTTTAATGTTGCTGTTTATTTCTCCACTGCTGATCCCCTGTAGAGAATTCTTTCCTGTTTCACCCTGGCATTTGACATTATCAGGCTGCAGCTGAATAGAAAACACAACTGTTCTGGTCAGCGAGCGTTTGTGAAGGCTCGGTCTGCCACAGCGGTTTTAAGGTTTTTTTGCCTCGAGGACAGCAACGCTTGGCCCCTCTCGGACTCACCCGGGCCTTTTCAGTACCAGGACGCTCTAAGATGCCTGTGGCAAAGTAAAGCACTAGAGGCAGCCCCGGCCAATACTGGGCAAGGGTTTCCCGTGGCAGTGAGGAGCAGCTCAGCGGCTTGCTCTCAGCAGGCGGGCGCCTCCTGGTAACGAGAAATCTTAGCAGAGGTACAAAAATACTTCGTTTTTCTGAAAACCTGTGAACCGTGGGTTAATTTTCTTCTTTACCTGACTATCTGCTTACGCAGATAATTTTTGGTTTTGTCTTGATGATGAGGATACTGGGAAGCCGTTGTTCTAAATTTGCCCAGAAAGTAAACTTGCATCGGGAAGCAGCAGGGGAAGCGGCAGAGTCCTTTCCTTCCCTCGAGCGGGTTTGGTGGCTCACCGCTTGGGTGCGGTGACGGGATGGGGTTTGCCTGGGGCACGGCAGCAGGGCCGGGCTGTGCAGCGCAGCCTCTGTCCCAGCACGTTACGCCTCCTGACGTGGGTGACAAACCTTGGTGTCTTCTGCCTCCGAAATGCAGATGGACGGATAATTCTGTGAAAATCGTAGTAAAATAGCTGACGTGTGACACTTGCAACGGCAACGTGAGGCTCGAGAGTGAGCTTCCGACTGAGATGTAGCAGAGGCGTTATTGTTGAAAGCGTAAATTGTGTAAGAACTCAAAGAATCACAGAAAAAAACAGAAGACATTTCCACAAAGGTGGGACTGGGCTCTGTATCACTAGCACTGATTGTAGTTAGGGAATTTTAAAACCACGCTACATCACTGATGCCTTAGGACAATTCGTATTTTAGTTCGCGTAGATAAGGAGCCGGTTACGGTAACTGCCAAGGTGGGAACCTTCAAAAGGAAGCAGCAGATGAGAGATTTTCTGGACCGTTTGCCAAAGGACAACCATGATGACGTGTTCACTGCGACGCCCTTCCAGAGCAGGAGAGTAAAGGTAGGTGTGGGAGAAGCGCGTGCGTGTGCGGTGACCGCGCGGGCTCTGCCGCTCGTCGCCCTCTCGCCCGGGCCCTTGCCTGTTCTTCACCTGCTCTCTCCCGCCTGTGCCCGTGGGGGCTGAGGAGCTGCCCCGTCTCCCTGGCTGGGCTCCTTTTCAGCAGCCGGAGGAGCGTGGCCCCCGGCCCCGTGAGCCCCCAAACCCGGCGGGCAGATGCAGCCCCGCGGCCGTGCCCGACCGCCACTCCCCGCTGGCGAAGCGCGATTGCGCGCTCGGGATGTCAGCGACGGCTCAGCTGTAAAGCAGAAGCCACCCGTTTGTCAAGAGAGTGATCGCTTTTTTTTTTTTTTTTTTTTTTTTTCCCTCCCTTTGTAGAGGTTTTCTGAAAGAGATTCTGTGACGGACCTTTTTGCGGCGCGCTGACCGGGGCTCTGCCCGCCCGCTGCCGCAGCTGCTCTCCGCTGCCTTTGCCCCGCAGCCCCAGCGCTTCCCGCCGCCGCGGCCCCCCGGGGACCCCCAGCTCCCCGGGCACCCCCAGCTCCCCGGGCACCCCTGGCCCCCCAGGGACCCCCGGCCGGAGCAGCGGGGCCTGGGCTGGCTGGGCAGGGCCAGGACAGCCCGCCCTAGCAGAGGGGGTGCTGCGGGAGACCGCTCGTGGCAGAACGCGATTGCAGCCACCGATTCAAAAGGGTGCCTTTTGTTACCCCTTTTTTTCTTTTTTTCCTCCCCCCCCCCTTTTTTCCCCCCCTTTTTTCCCCCCCTTTTTTCCCCCCCTTTTTTCCCCCCCTTTTTTCCCCCCCTTTTTTCCCCCCTTTTTTTTCCCCCCTTTTTTTCCCCCTTTTTTTCCCATTTTTCCCTTCTTTTCCCCCCTCCTTTTTTCCCTTTTTTTTTTCCTTTTTTCCCCCTTCCCCCCTTTTCCCCCCCCCTTTTTTCCCCCCTTCTTTTCCCCCTTTTTTTCATTTTCCCCCCCTTTCCTTTTTGTTACCCCCTTTTTCCCCCCTTTTTCCCCCCTTTTTCCCCCTTTTCCCCCCTTTTCCCCCCCTCTATTTTCCCCTTTTTTCCCCCCTTTTCTCCCCCTTTTTTTTTCCCTTTTCCCCCCTCTTTTTCCCAACCCTTTATTTTGTCCCCCTTTTTATTTCCTAACCCTTTTTTTTTTAACCCTTTTTTTTCCTTTTTTCCCCCCCTCAAACCCATTTTGCCCAGCCTGTGCTGCACAGAAGCGGCCAGCCTCCTCCCGTCACGTAAGGCGAGCGGTGCACCTCCAGGGAGAAATTCTGTATATTCAGGAGTCCTGAGCTCACTCCCCTTCCACGAACTCGCCCAGCCCCTCTCTGAACCTGGGCAGACTCTTCACATCGCTGGCAGTTCCTTGTGCCAAGTTCCAGAGCTGAGCTATTTGCTGTGTGAAGCAGCATAATCTTTTATTTGTTCGGAACTTTTATCTGCTGACCTCGTCGTCCTCTTCTCACGGGGGGGAGACGGCGAGTGCCCGTCCTGGTGCCCCTTCACCCCGGCGCCAGTTACCGCTGCCCCCCGGGGCCTGATCACCTCTGCTGCTCCTCTCTGCGCCTTCCCAGTTCTCTCGCTTCAAAACGGAAGGACCCGAAGGTCGCTGAGTAACCTCCTCCCCGAGTACTGGCGGTCGGCTTCGAGCCTGTCATTTTAATCAGAAATTCTTTTTTCGAATGTGTGGTAGCACCTAAAAAGGGCGAGCGCGGTGCTGGGTGTCGGCGGGCGGCGCGCTCAGCGTGAGCTGGGGGCATCGTCTGGCTGCTGTGCGGAGCCCCCCCCGCGCGCCGGCAGGACGTGCTGGGGTCAGAAACGGAGCAGAAGGGAGCGCCTGCCCGTGGAGGAGGGGACAGAGAGCCTTTTCTGCTCCGGTGGGGGAAGAGGGACAAGCCGAGGCTGGCGGAGTCGCGAAGAGCCCGACAGAGCCCCGAGGAGCCTGGTTCTCAGACTTCCGTTAACAAGGACAGGTCACTGATCGCTCTGATGTGGCTTTGTAGTTGCCAGCGTTCCGGGGAGTCCAGGAGGACGATGATGAGGATGACATTGCACTTAAGGACAACCCGATCACGCCCTCCTCAGCCATCTTCCCTGCGGTGAAAACCCCTCAGTGTGAGCATATCAGCCCCGGTATGCTGGTTCCCATCAACAGGTAGGACCTCGTCCCGCTGGCCCCCCTGCTAACCTCCTCCTGCCCCGTTTTCCCCAAGATTGTTTTTTGCCTTCTGAGAAGGACTCTTGGAAGTGGGGCCCCGGTTCACTTCCAGCCTTGGAGCCCGTGCAGGAGATCCTGCGGGCCGCGAGGGCTCTGTTTAGCGCGAGCGCTCCTGGGGCAGCGTTTGCCCTGGCGCAGGGAGCGACTCGGGCTCCAGCCCCGGCGGAGGGTTCGCTGCCCAGGACCCCGTTACCCCAGTTGCCTCAGGCTTTACTGGAACAAACTTGGAAGCGTGTGGGAACTGGCGGAGTCAGTGGTGCTCTGTGTAAACGGCCAAGAACCCGACTTCATCCGGGAAGAGGATGAAGCTCTGTCTGCCGAGTTCCAGCGCCGGAGCTGATTCAACGTGCCCAGGGCTGCTCTTGTATTTAATTGACCAACAACTGTTCTTAATGGCCGTGCTAATTTTCTCTCTGAATTGGAGCTGTGTTTAAGGCCTTTAGCGCCGGCCCCTGAAGCTGAAGTGCCTGTTTACACCTGCAGGAACGATTACGACAGGCACGTGTTCAGGATGCAGAAGAACAGGCAGGGCACCTGGGCCAAGGTCAAGAAGTCGTCGGTAATGCTGCTTTCCCTGCCTGGCTCCACCCACCCTGACGAGGCAGAGCTCTGCCGAGCAGCGGGCACGAGGGCCCCGGGGTCCCAGACCAGTTGTGTGTGTTCAAGATGGAAAACGGGAGCCCTCCCCTCTGCCCTCCCCAGCTTCGGGGTTCTGTATCTGTCATCTCCTCCTCTTAGAGAAGTTCTTTCTGTTAGGAAAGAGCTATTTAGTGTCAGGGTTCAATTAATTTTTTCAGGATCTGTAACCGCTTTTGAGTTCTGTGCCCTTTAGGTAAATTAAGTTCCTGCTTTATTAACTCTGTAAAGCGGGGGAGGAAATAATAGTAATTCTCACCTTGTATCAGCTAGTCCCTGAATTTATGTATTTATCCCTTCAGCCTCCCGGGTTTTGGGATCCTGGCTGGTGAGGGGGGTGGTGGCGTAGCTGTTAATGCCAGCAGGGCAGGGCCTGGCGCTGGGGCGGCTGCTGGAGCGGAGCCTTTTCTGTCCTCCCCGCCAGGGCGGAGCTGTGCTGGGGACGCCGGCTTCACGCAGGGCCAAGTGCACTTTTGACAGAAGTAAGTGCCCGTCCTTCCCCCCGCCCCGCTGCCGCAGCGCCTTGGGCGCCCGCAGTCTTTGTGTTTTTAATGATTTTCCCGCAGTCGCCTTTGCTTTTTGGCCCTTCTGTGACTGGGGCACACTGCTGACCCCCCTTTTTCTGCCCGCAGGACAGCCCCCGTGCTCGGTTGTGGGGAAGCTCTTTGGGGCCAAGGCAGCAGACTCGTCGGATGAAGAGCAGGACGACGGTTCCTATTCTTCTGCTTAACGAACTTTGTGGACTTCATTGCCTGAACCCTGCACCTTTCGCACGAAGCGAAGGGGGTTTGGCCACTGCTCTGAGACGTTCCTGGGACGCTGAGAGGTGGGAAACGCCGGCCTGCCATGGTTTTAGGTGTTTTAACACCCTTCTCACCTTGCCGTGTTTGCTGTTTTCCATGTGTACAAAGTTGTCACTTCCTGGCCCGGGCTCCTCCTGCCTGGCGCCCCGGTGGATATGGATACCAGTGACTGGCAAGTTTGCTTTTTAAGAGAAAATGTGTTTCTGTAATGCGGCTGTGCAACTAAATTTATAACGGTGCAGTCTGTAATTAGTTGGAATTGCATTTACTTTACCGAGAGTCTGAATTTTTACTGTTTCTTAATGTAATAAAAAAGCACAAGTTTGTTTTACTCAGGTACGAGTCGGACTCTTTGGGGGGGAGGAGCTGGCCCTCAGCCTCGCTCGGCCTGGTACCTGGGCCTGCCAGGAAGGGCTGCCCCTGCCTCGCCTTTCTGCCGAAGCCGGAAACCTTTGCTTTGCCAAAACATTTCAGCCTTTATTCTAATTTTTAAAGAAGTTTTGGAATGACTGTACCCAGCCCCGGAGGCACAGCCTCGCCTTAGGTGCCAGGCAGGGGGTCGGTCGGAGCGTGCCAAAGCCCCGCGGGGTTTATTTACATATTTTACAGGGAAGGAAAACTTCAGTAAAGTGCATTTCAAGAACAGCCCGGGGGGTGGCGAGGCCGCGTCTCCCTGCCCTCAGCTCCTGGCAGCTGCGGCGTTTCTCCCCCCCTTGGCGCCGAGGTTCTGGGGCAGCATCTGCACCTCAAATCCGTGGCGGAGGTAGCGGTAGATCTCCTCGGCCTTCTGCGGGCTGACGCGGGCGCCGGCGGCGAGGGCGGCGGGGGAGCTGGAAGAGAGCAGAGGGCACCTGAGGGGGGGCTGCCAGTGGGCTGCGGGCACGGCGGGGTGAGCCGGAGCCTGAGCAACCTGCAGAGGAAAGGGGAAGGCAGAGAGGAGCCCGAGCAGGGAGCACCGTGCCCTCCCAGGAGGGCACTGGCAAGGGGCAGGGAGAGGAGCGACCCCGGGGCCACTGGCCGCCGTTACCTGTTGGCCACCTGCCTCACGGAGGCGAAGTGGTGGCACATGTTGAGAGCAGCCAGGTAGCCGAGGTCGGGAATGCTCAAGTAGAAGTTGAGCGCCTCCCGTTTGCGGCCCTCCACCTCGGTTGGCACGCGGATGGCGGCGTTCTTCCTCTGCTCCGCCGAGGCCAGGTCCTTGAGCAAACCCGCCGTCTCCTCTTGGCAAGAGCTGAAAAGAACGCGGACCCCAGCCCGGACCAAGGCTGAGAGCACGCCGTCGTAGTACTGCGTCCTCTGGAAAGAGCGCCACGCCTCTCCTGCAGAGGCAACGGGCAGAAAACCCCGTGAGATTTAAGAGCTAAATTACTGTGAGAATTCTGATCTGAATCGCCTGCAAAGCAGAACGGACCCCTGCTTTGAGAACTCACGACCAAAAACACGATGAGGGAAAACATTTCAAGGAACGGAGGCAGGAGGCGTCACAGGAGCAGGATTTACTCAGTCATTTGGGAGGCAGAGTTTAGGAATTAACACCGAAATTGCAAATTAAATGCCATTAGGAGAGAGGATTGGGAGGAACACATGGTAAGTGAGGAACAACGGGACAGACCAAATCAGAAGAGGTTTGGTAAAGCTACCGAAGTAAACATGCACTCGAACCCCGTCAAACAAGAAACCAGCAGCACTCTGGAAACAGGATAATGAGAAAACACGTCAAAAATGGTGAAAATGACTGACAGCTTGAGCTGCGGGTAAAAAGGCAGCTCCAACACAACCCGCTCCTCTGCAGCGACCACCTCTACTGTTGTGTCCCTATCTGAACCACCAATGGATTAAGCCCACGTCACAAAAACCAAGCCGCATCCACAACAATTTGATTGCAGTGGTGGAGTTTTACATCCCAGAACATCTGTAATTTAACTGGAGCCATGAGCTCTACTTCCCGCTTACGGGAAGCAGGTGCAAGCAAGACCTCTCCGTTATTTTCTAGATGGCCCTGAGACAGCGTTGGTAAGATTGTCTGATTGCAGAATTTGGATTTTAGGATTAAGACAAACGGCCTGCCCAAACTCTAGGAATCAAAGCCATAGTCTTGAATTTCCCCCAAATTTTTAATCAAGTCAGGAGGCGCCTCCAGGGCTCCTCTCCCCGCTCTGTGACCCGAGGCAATATGTGAACACAGCCCTCCCAACCCCCCGGGGAGCCCTCTTCTTCTCCTAAGAAGGGATTCAGCTCAGCTGATGCCCCTTTGCACCAGCCATTCATCACCTGCTCCGGCCTCTGCACTTCGGGGGTAACGTAACCTGTGGGACGGTGTGTTCAGGCCCTTCTCACCGCTTCTAAACCGGGAGGGTCTCCCCGTACGGCCTGACAGGTGCCACTCGTTAGGGTATTGCTAGAAAAAATATTTTTCTTCAGTCCACTATTATTTTAGTGCTGAACATAGGTAAGATTGTGCTTGCTCCTTTGTTCTACCGCTCTCACCTTCTCTGTTGAAATCTGCCTTGAAGTTGGGGTTTTTTGGCACTCATTAATCTGGTCAGTTAATATTTGCCTTAACTTCCTTTCCCCCTGCCCCAGTAATGACTCAGCGATGGATCCAGCTGTCTGTCTCTCCCTGTATTAAATGGCCCTCAAAAGCAAAACAAATTTTAACCTTCAGGTGGTGACCTTATTAACGCGACCCCCTAGAAGACAGGCTTCCAGCCTCCTTTCTCTCCTGTCTGACACACGAAGCCGGCGCAAGCCTTGAGCAGAGACGCGGGCAACACCCACCTGTTTTAATCCTGTCCTTCTCCACAATCACACACGTTCTCTCAAACATGCTCTGCAGGCGCTGGATCCGCTGGCTGATTTTACTCCTGTTCCCAGAGTTGAGCAATTCTGACAGGAATTTCCTCTCCACGGCCATGCGGTTGCTCACGACGTAATCGCTGCTGCTCAGCGAGCAAACCTGCACCTTCACTCCGTGGTCGGCCCTCAAGGAAGAAATCACCTCTGCTCCGGAGGAGATCTCGCGGCTGTCTACCAGAATACAGAGGGGAGGTGTCTTCTCCAGAGAGTCAGGTGGGAAGGGAGCTGAAGCTGAAGCGGGGTTTGTGGAAGCAGAACAAGGTGGAACTGAGGTGCTCCTGCAGGTGTTCTTCGGCGAACTTTCCACCTGTGAGCGTTGAAAAATCACACGGTATTTTCTCAGAGATCACAGACGCATCAGGCCAACGAACAACGCGCCAATAAAAAAAAAAAAAACACCCCACGGTTTTCAAATAGTGATGCTTAACAGATGCACTTTTTTTTTTTTAAATCCAATTAATTAAATCTTAAAAAAAAAAAAAGGTATTTTTCTATATTGCAAAACCTTAACCCTTTCAGCTTAACATTAGAATCCCCTGTAAACAATCTCCCAAATCAGTTGATCTAATTCTTTAGCAGCTTGAATGACAAAAGCATGCAGCCCTCGCTAACGAGTCCAACAGTAACTGAACACTGTAAACAACACAGGTCAGGCAGGAAGGTGCAAGAGATCAGGAATCCAACCGTAGACGATGGAAGGTCTTAACTCAGGGCAGTGAACAAGTATTTTATAACTACAAACCCCAAAGAATTAGTGTACACTCTCTGCTGTGAAAGAGATCCCTATCCCTCCACGACTGTCCCTCGGGGTTGTATCTAATCCCGAATTTTTATTTATTGACTGCCAAGATGCTCTCCCGCGTTATCTGCCAGTGCAAGAGCTTCCTGGACCAAAGGAAGGGGGGGATGATGCAAAGCAGCCCAAGCTCCCTGATCGCCAGCAGCAGCCTCCCTCTTGGGGCTGCCGTGCTGCCAGCCCTCCCAGCACCAGCGCGGCGGGGCAGGACCCTCCAGCAGCAGGTGAGGTGAGAGGAAGGGCCTCGCTCGGAACCGGCGCCGACCTCAGTGGGAGCCCGGAGATCCTCCTTCCCCGAAGCACAGCTCGTGGCAGCTGGTGGAAGGCGTGCGCTCCTCGCTCGATGGTCCGGGTGAAAATCCAGCATTTCCGACACGGAAGCTTTCAAGCCAAGCAGCGTCTGGCTCTTACCCTCCGCAGAGTGACGAGCAGCGATCGCCCCAGCAGTTTTTCTGTGCTGCTCAGAAGAGGCTGGAGGCGGCGACTCGGGTGACTTTGCATTTTCCTGTTCTGCCCTGAAGCGGTCTGTTTGCACGGGCTGCTCGTTGCTGACGCTTGTTTCTTCCCCGCTGGAATCACTGAGAACAATAATTCGGGACGGTTTCTTCTTCCGGACTGGGACAGAGGAGGCCTCTTCTGGCCTGGCCTGCTTTAACTTTTTCCTGCGGCGAGTGAGGTATTGTTTTCTTCCGCTAGTAAAACTCTCATTATTTAGGAGATCAAAATCAACGCACACTTCCTCCTCACTAGATTCACTGGTTTTGCACGCTTCCTCTTCCTCCTCTCCGATGCAGAAACTGTCTTCCACATAAGCCTGGTCTTGCTCGGGAATCTGGAGGGGGGGGAGGAAACAAACCCAGTGAGTTTTGAAACACCACAATGATTTTGCTTTCCCTCTCCATACCCCGCAGCCCCGTAAGGCTTCCCAACACGCTCGTGGCTCTGCCTGCAACACGCGCTCTCAGATTTCGGCCGGGCCCACGATTTGTCACCAGAAACCTTCTAATGGGCACGTTAATTGTAGTGTCACAACGGAAGCACGACTCGCTTGCTAGCAGCACTGACAGACAGGCTGGAATTACAGACGGGAGCGTCACCTCCGCGTGTCTGTGCACAGGGGAAGGGCCCCGGTGCCTCCACGCTCGGGACGAGCTGCAGTTCTGCGTGAGGAAGGGCAGAATCCACACCCGCACCACGTGCACCACGTGCACTACAGCACACAGCCTTGCTGGCAGAAGCACTTCACGGTGCCTTTGCAACGCGTGAAACGAAACAGAAGTTGAAGATTTGGATTTTCAGCCACAGCCTGCCTCAGCTAAAACAGCGACAGAACTGACATCATCAGCTGAGGCTGCTTGGCAATCGAGTCCCGTGCGTTCCTGTTACCTGCTCGTAAATAATCAGTAAAAAAACCTGAATTTTTGTGTGTTAACAGAAAAAAAAACCCATGTTTTATCCTTTTCATCAAATATAGATCTCTCTTTTATGGTGCTGAAGGTGATCTAAAACCAGGAATATAGGAAACAGGAAAAAAAACTGGGGAGGAAATAAGGGACCATCCTGTGCATCTGTGTTTCCGATTCTGTGATGTCTTTGCTGTCTATGAAATAACGAAGGAAAATCAAGTAGCAAAAAACTACTGCACAAGGCTGGAAGAGTTCAGAGTAAACCAGAACCCTGAGGATGGGTTACGCAGGAAATTCGTCGGCGTTCTGATGGAGGGGGAGCACAGCTGGGTGTGCCAGAAACCGACCCAGGCCGGGAGCGGCCGGGGTGAGGAGTTAACACGTTGAAGGAAGCTCTGGTAATAATCCAGCTGTGTTTCACTGGCACTTCTGTGAGCAGACAGAATCAGTGCATAATGATGCGGTGTGTAAGAGGGCAAGAGCTGGGTAAGGGTCAGCTTTGGGGAGCCATTCGTGCCCCGCAGTTGCCCCACGTGGCAAGGGCACAACGTAAAGGGCCAGTCTCCAGCGGCACTGGGGAGACTGGGCAGCAAGCGGCGCCCTGCCAGGGCGTGCTGAGCAGCAGCGGCCAGCACTCTCAACTCTGCTGCTTTTCCTGAACGTTTCCAACCTTCCATTTCAGGAGCTAACCCGCTAATTGCTGGAGAAAAACGGGCCGTCCTGGCACTGCTGGTTGTGTGGCGACAAGAGCGCCGGGCAGCCCGACGTACGGCTGGGTGACAGGCACGCGCCCAGGCCGGCACCCCTCTGTTTGGGGGGGCTGCTTGTTTCACCAAGAGACTGGAAATAGCCCGTGCTGGGCGAGAGGACTCTTCCTCAGAAGGTGTCAGAGCCCGTGTGCCAGCGGGAGGCCAGGACACAGTGCCTGTGTCCCAGGAGGGACCGGGCTGCTGCCGCTTCGGACTGGGCAACAGGGTGGAGCAGGGGGTGTGTAGGCTTCCGTCAGGGCGAGGGTGGGCACGCTTCAGCCTCAACATCAAAACAAAGGCAACGGTCTTTTGTTAGAACTGATTATCAACAGCAGGCTGCAGACAGCGCTCCGAAGTGGGATGAGAACCTAAACAGGGGCACAGGCAGTCGGGGCGGGCTGCCCAAGGACAGCAGCCGTTCCGTTTCCCACCTGTGAGAAAAACGCCGTGCTGTCGAATTCACGATGAACCATTTTGTATCTACTGCCAAGAGCTGGACTGCGCACGGATTTCAGGTAAACTCCTTTCATCTCACAGTCTGAATTAAAACGAGAAGATGAAAGAGGAAGCAGCGTTATTAAGGATACACTTTTCAATTCGTTATTGTTACATCGGGTTTTCCATATTAAGTGATTCCTTTAAAAAGCTGTATTTCATAAAACAAAAATTTGCAGTTCTCCGGACATCTCTGAAAATCCCAAAGCAAAGGACTAGGTCCACCCAGCTTGCCACCACGAAAGCTGCCGGGCAGAAGCTTCTCTCGGCAGGCAGAGCTCTGGCTGCCTGTAGCAGGGCGAAGGGCGATATCAGCCACAGGAAACCCAAATCACTCGGGTTTCCGTGTGCAAGTCTCTCCCACACCAGACACAACGGTATGAGAAAGGGAAGGGCTGGCTGGATCTTACAGGGAACAATTAAATGGAGGAGGAAAAACCTCAGCAACAACTGGGAACCTTAAACGGTAATAAGATGATTCCGTTACGCAAATACCCCAGGGAAAGACAAGGTTCATAAGCACAGGGGTAAGAAAACCATCTCAGCCAAAAACCAGCTTTACCTTCTCAGCTCTCAGTGCCAACACTGTAATTTTATCTTTAGCATTCAGATCGTTATTTCTTGTCGTATCCTAAGTCCCTCTGTAACAGAGGACCTGCAAGATTCAGAAATTTCTAAGTGAAATGGAAAACTGTTTCCGCTCAGTCACCACGGTGCAAGGAGGGGTGGCTGGCACTTGGTGAGAGTCAGTCTCCTGCCCCTGCAATCCTCGAAGAGCTGACTGCAGTGAGGAACTTCCTACGCAAGAAACCCACGCGAATAAAACCAGAAGAGGTTCAGATAATGCGAAGCACCTGACTTCCCACAGCTGAGGAGGTTAGTGCTTGTTAGCTGAGCCACCAGCTGACCCAGGGGCCGTGCCCGTCAGGCACCACTTGCTGAGCATTAACAACTCTCCTCATTCACCGTTTAACACTTGCGTGACCTCTACGTCGTCATTCAGGAACCGAGCCAGTGAGGAGTTCAGCTCGTTCTCTTCATCTACGCTCTCATCAGAGGAGACACCTTCTGCATCTTGCTGGGACAGCTCAGCTTCTTCAGCTAAGAACTGCCTTGCTGCATTCTACAAGAGGCAAAAAAAGTCACAGTTGCAGTTAGAAGCTGGCTCCTGGTTTAACTGTGGCACCTCTGCTTCAGTCAGTTCACGACGTCAGAACATCAGCTGCTGAGAGGATCACAGATATTAGGCTTCTGGCTTTGAGAAGAGATCCCAGGCCAGGGGAAGGTGACGCAGGGAACACAAAGCTCAGTGCAAGCCCCAGCAGCGCCCCAAGGCCCGTCCCAGCAGCAGGGCAGGGGGAGGCTGGTGCCCGTGTCAACACTCCGGCTAAAGGTAACCAGAGGGTGCAGCAGGTTGCTCCCCGACTAGTTAATAGTACAGGCAGAGTCTGACACCACATTGTAGCTAAGCTACCTAAAAATATTAGGTGGTTTTGAAACTTATAAATCTAGTTTTACTCATTTTATTTGCTTTCAAAAATCTGTTTTGATGTAAAAGTGCTGGATGACTCTGAACCCAAGTCCGCGAGAAACTTCACATACAGACTTGACACTGGTTTGCCCTTTTCTCTTTAGGATTTAGGATTGTTTTGTGAGTTCATCAGACAACGTAACTCATTACTGAGAAAACGTTCTTTCAGGGAAGATGAGGCACTTTGCACGTGAACTGCAGTCCAGGAGACACAATACGAACCTCGGTACTAAGTTCTATCAAAAACAGACAACGAAACATTCACAGAACGTGCGTGGAAACAATAAATTCATTCAGGAAGATGTTTTGTCAGAGATACTTCAAATTAAGCTAACTTTCTCTTACAATTTCAGCTATAAAGTACTAAAGTAAAACATAGGAAAAAAAAAACAAAACACCAACAAAAACCACAAGATGTATCCCAATTAGTCCAAAAGAATTGTTTGCCTTCAAAATACTTTGAATAAAAATCACAAAGCTGTACATTTTAGTTTAGTACACGGAAGACTAGGGCGTCCTGTGCTACACTAAGTGACATCTCCGCTTTTCAAATTTTCCCAAGTCTTTTAATGACTTGCTTACGCCCATTAGTAAGCCTGAATGATGGGCATTATTAATAGTTCCTTTTCTAGAACAGTTTTGAGTATTCTGAAACACACAGGAGGTCCCCTGTTCACAGGAAAGAGCTCTCGGTGCTACTGCCAATTAGTGTTAATCCTCCCTACTGGTGAAGGGCGACGGAGAGCACCAGGCCCGCAGGGTGAAAAGCACCACGACACCAGAACAGAAGCTAACAGCCAGGGTCGGGTCACGCTTGGGAAACAATAAGTGATGAGGTTCTTAAATTATTTATTGAATCTTTGAATTCAGTGCCAGTGGCTATTTGGGGCGCACCGAGCTCGTCACCATCTCTGTTAATCTAACCGCAGATGGCTGCTGCGCCTGCAGCTCCACTGCCTGCCCTTCTGCCAGAGCACTGTAACTGGGGGGGGGCTGAGCAGAACGATTTGGATCTCTTGGGTCTTCTGCGGATCTGAAATTCTGACATGTTTATCACTATGGATGTTTAGGTAAGATGCTATGTAAAGGCAGAGTAGAATTTCATAAGGATACACGCTCTATCCATGAACCTTTTCGTCTCACGTTAAAAAAAAAAAAAAGTTTCAATAAAACTGAAAAATGGACTTTACCCCATTTTTTGTATTCCAGAACATAAAATACTGATACTACAGGGAAGCCTCCCAAATAAAGATTATATTTAAGATGTTAAAAATATCCAACATAATGTGCCCTGACTATAGTGATTTCTGCCGAGCGGAACCACATCCGTGCATATTTAAGAGCTTTTCAGCTTACTATGAATATGTGATTCCGGCCCTGCATCCGTTCCTGATGCAGTGACTGATTCAGGTGTAAAATACTAAGTTAAGATTTAAGCTTTGGGGTTGAGGGACCATTGCTGCCTTAAGGTGGCCAAAGTTTCACCATTAGCATAGGTGGGAAATTCATACGATCAGGTATCCCAATAGAGTCAGTTCTGAAGAAGAACCCGAGCTTCCTGAGTCTGACTAATCTTTGAGTATCTTCTACTTGCAATGCAAATTACTATTTTGCTTCAGAACATTATTAGGCAGGGCCTTGTGGATTCCTCTGAAAGTCAGGCAACGGATGTGAGGGTTAAGATCATCATCCAGTGTGTCAAGATTTCCTCTCAAATGCTTGCAATGAGCTTGTGTGAAACAGCTGTGAGCCTCAACCCTCCTAAACAGTGTCTTAAAAGCAAACACCTGCCCAACTGCATGCCTGCTACAATGCAGTTGTGTCACGAGATCCTACAGAGGCCACAAAATAGACAGAAGCTCCATTTTTTAGGCCAGAAATACACCCGAGCTCCAGAATGAGTGACTCGGTAACACAGCAAATTTTCACCTTACGTCCGTGACATCAGTGCTCAACATTTCTGTCATTTTCATGTTTGTTTGTTTTTTTTTTTTTTAAATACAGACAAATTAGAAAATACTTCCAGTTCATTCTTGCAGTTTGAACAGAAAGTAGAATCTCACTAACTCTCTGGTTTCGGTTTTGCTTGGTAACACGTGCTGCTCATGTTCAAAGACACGTTCCCCTGAAGTCGGTTTTGCAATGTGGCAAACGTGCACGTCCTTACGTACGCACACACGTGGCAAAGCCCAGCAGCTGCCCACAGTGCGACTTCAGTGCAGACTGCTCCCAGCAGGGCTGTCAGTGTAGCAGGAGACGTGTACCGTCACGTACCTTGTAGGTAAAATTGCTCTTGACCTTCTGCCGTTTCGTACTTCTTCGCTGCTGTCTGTTACGGGCTGCTGAGCTGCTCTTTGTGGTCCTACTCGAGCTCTTGTGAAAGTCTGCGCTGTCATCACTGGACACATCTGACTGGAGGAACATTTCACCAACAGTTCAATAAGTAAGACTAAAGCAAGCAGTATTTTAATTGAACAGTCATCCTTCAACATCCGGGGTTTGTTAAGCAACACCTGATGTTTTGTGATGGATTTGCTACGGCAAAATAATGCAGTAATGCTAATCATCGTATTAAATACAAAAGGAACAGAAAAACATGTTCCTTGATAGAAAAATCAGGTCAAATGTGACATGATCTTTTTTTTTTTTTTTTTTTAAATTCAAAGCTGTGTGGAAGAAAGGTTATTTCACTGCCTTTCACAAAGGGAGAGGCTCAGCTCTCCTGCCTGTAACAGCATTTCACTGCCAAACAACAACTACAAAGTCATCTTTGGAAACCTTGGGAAAGACTTGAAGGAAGGAAAGCAATTACTCTCTAATAAGCTTTAGGTCAGATGGCATAGAATATTTTTAAAAAGAACACTTGCCTGCTGACTGGAGAAAGAGTATATGTTTAAATATATACTCCCTAAATGAGTTTGCATTATTTTTCTCCTGTCTCACCAAAGCATTTACTAACCACGTTAAGTGGGTGTCGGCGTTTTCGGATGGCACGAATCGGCGATTCAAAATCACTATCATTCACAACCTACACAAACAGAAATAAGTATAACTGCAAAGAGGATTTTTGTTTTGGTGTTTGATTTGTCATTTTGCTTCTCTTTATTTTTTTTTTTTTTTTTTTCTTTTTCCAAGACTCACATCAGGAGACTTCAAAACATTCTTTTTTTTCCTATTTTTTCTCTGGAAAACGATCTCTTCTTCACTGTCACTGCCGGTTCCTACAGAAAAAAATAATAAACAACATTCGCAAGAAAATGCATTGCTCACAATACAATATTGCTATAACTGAGCAAACAAAATCTGCCTTTCTTATAAAAGTGCCTACAAAGGAGATTGCTTATTGATCTGTGTGGCAAATATTGTTCTCTTTAGCCTTGTTAATCGAAATAAATCATCTCCAGCTGAGATGTACAATAAATCCTACTTCCCTGGAGAGTCTCTGAGTGGCAGTGATTATCCCAGGCAGTACAGATGCAGCAAAAGGGAGGTGAAAAAGGAAACCAAGAGAAGAAGCGCTTGGAGGCTGAGCAAGAGTTACACTTCTGGGAGCCTCTTGCAACACGTATCCCCGCGGGTGCACGGAACCCAAACCAGAACTCTCTCAAGAGCCCTCTCGCCAGCTGCTTTGCACACGACTGCAGCCTTTTTGGTTTTCATTGCCTGTGTGAAATACAAGCTCTCCCTTCACCTTCCGCCCGGCCAGGGCTGCAGTCCCCGGGCCGGCGCTGCAGCCCTGCGCCCGCTGTGCCGCCCTGCCTGCCCCAGAGCAGGCTCCACCCGAGCTGCACCCACGGCCCCCGCCTCGGATCTCCCCTCTGCCTCCTGGGCGGCACGGCAGGACACAGCCCGCTCTGCTTAGTCACGAAAAGGTTTGAGGTTCTTTAAGGGAAAGCACAAAATTCCCAAACACGCCACTTCTAAAATACTGTGTTTAAATACCAGTGAGTATCATTTCAACAACACACACCGGCCTGACCAGACAAACCCCTTAACACCCTGATCCAGGTTCAGTATGAACCCTGCAATTCTAAAACAGAAATTGGTTTCTTTTTGTGATTTTGGCTTTGGGTTTTTTGGTGTTTTTTTTTTTTTTGTTTTGTTTTTTTTTTTTTTAAATTATTTTTTCTTAAACAGAAGAGAATTTTATTTCGTCAAACTAAGATATCAGTTTGAAGGTGGGATGATTTAGGATGAAATGTGGCATTCAGAAAAATACGACAACTATCAGACAAATTCAAAGAGAAGGAAAAAAATAATATGCTTTAGTCACCAAAAGGACTGTTTATGCTTTGTTTCAATGTTTAAGGACGGTAACAAAACCATTCAGAAAAACTCTATGTGCCCTATGAATCAGACCGACTACTATTAAGCCTGAATTGTTCTGAAAGTAATTCAAGGTTATTCAGAGATGAATGCAACAAAAAGCGTGACTATGACCTCTAAGTGTCCTACGAGTGAAGGATGATGGTCATTTATATGTTGGCAATATCAGAATACGAAATTTTTTTTTATGGTATATTGGTCCTAAACCAGAAAGAGTCAGAAGGGGAGAGAAAAGGGAGGAAATAACAAACAGGCGACATTTTTAAGACAATCCAGGTTTGTGCTGAAGTTATAATCAGAAAATTTTAACTGCAAGTCAGTTCTCATGCAACTAAACTGAAAGAAATCCATCAGTAGAATTTCTGTTCCTCAGGAAAATACCCATAGCATGGCTTCAGGGACTGAAGTGCTACAGACCCAGATGATTACAGATCAGATACTAAGAAGATTAAGAAAGGGCTACAAAGGCAGCTCTAGCCCACACAAAGCCGTCTCACAGGGCTGCGCCGCCGGCGCTTGTCAGGAGGTATGAGGGGTTTAACTCCCAGTAGCTCCTCCAATATGCATTTCAGCCTCAAATGGCTAAGCTCACATGCAGGGTTAAGACTCTGCAAAGTCTCTTCATTGACCTAACTTCTAGTATTACAACCATTATTCCCTTTTCCTTCCATCCACCCCACCCGAGCCATAAAACCAAATCGGGGACCCCAAAGCGACCGGATTCTGTGCACTTAACCGTGGGAGCGTTACCGAGGCACACCACCGAGACCCCTACCTTCAGCAGGAGACCCACACGAACCACCAAGGTTGGTGTCTTCCAGGCTTTCAGTTCTTCCTAAAGGGGCATCACGTGCGCCCGTGGCTGAACTCCGAAAGTTCTGCCTACGTGGGCTTTTATTTACTTCACCCGTAAGCGGCTCCTCTGGGATTTCCTCCCTGGCGCTGGAGAAGGCATTCGTAGGAATTCTTCTGAGAGCTTTAGTATTCATAACCTTTCTACTTGTTGGGGTAGAAAATGCAGAAGCCAAAGCTTCAGGTGACCCCCTTCCCGTTCTTCTGTCTCCCGACTTCCAGATCGGCACTGCAGCGCCGGCGTCCTCGGTCCCTCCTCTAGCGTCCGCGCTCCCGCTCTGGAATGGCGATGGTGTGGGAATGTCTCTCCTCCCGAGACTTTTGCAAGCCTGTTTGGGCCATGTTTCAAGTCCGGAGCTATCATTCAGTAATTTTTTTTTGTCTTCAGTGGATCTAACATCAGCACGATTCCCTGAGGCACCGTTTAGTTTTCTGGTATTATCAGTATCTACATTTTCTTCAAAGATTTCGTTCTCCCAGTCTTTGACGGAAAATCCCAGATCAAAGTTAACAGAAAACAGTTCTTGAGAACTGTCATAAAGATCATCGTCATCCAGAAACTGCTCGGTCGCACTAATACCACCCGATGTGTCCGTGGTTTTACAGCTTATTGGCTGCCCCTTGCCGGCCTGGTGGCCGCTCACGCAGCACACCTCTGGGGGAAACCGCTCGGAGCCTCGCTCTGCAACTGGCCAAATAACACTCTCACCTGAATCTGACCTGACTAAATGCTTATGGCTCATAGGAAAACTTCCATTATTTGTGTCATAAATGTAGTCATCTGCAAATAAACGTATACGCTTTTCTTCCTCGGTCATCACATTTTTCTCATTCGCTTCAAGATCGTCTTTAGTTTTTTGAACAAAATACTTACTTGAAGGGTTATTTGTCAGACTGTGATTTATTGTTGGAGTTTTCTCTTGAATTTCAGCGAATATTTCGTTGTCAAACAGACTATCAAAGCTGTCATTCCAGTGAAGCTCCTCTTCGGCTTTAACAACAGCAGCCTCAGAAGACGATACAGGTTTTGTAAAACAGGTGCTTACGGGAGCACACGACTCGCTGGTGACTTGCAGTTCAGGGTTTTCGGGGAGCGGCAGTGAACGAGCAACTTCCGAGGATGCAGGAAACACTTTGTCCTGCTGCCTCACTGAACAACTGTCAGAAAGGACTTTTTGAAAAGGACATGTTGTTTCTTCATTTCTCGTCATGTTTTCAAAATCATCAATTTTATTTAAAGAGGGAGGAGACTGCAGTAAAAGCTTTTTCACATGGGAAAATACTTGTTTTAACCAAGAAGTCTCCTCAGATGGTCTCACAAGTGCAAATGAATCCACGTATGATTCAGGAAGATAAAATAAGTCAGAGGACACAGGTGATTTCTCAACTGTGAAGCTGCTATAATCCGAATCTGCACGGTACATCCCCAGTGACCTACAAGCTTTATCTACAGTTTTGTATTCCTCTGTTGCTGCACTTCCATGAATTATAGTACTTTCACTGTTGTCACACAGGTCAATCTGTTCATTTAAATCAAATGTCACTTCTAGTTCCACACCCTTTTGACTGGCCTGGTCAATACTTTCAACCAGAGCAAGCCTTCTTGCTGAGTAGGAAGCTGAAGTATTAGTATTTGTAGGAAACACAGGCACTTCTGATTTTAATCCAGAAGTTCTTTCGGGAGTCTTTGGTTTTGTTAATTTAAATGTGGTAAAGAATTCACTCCCATTATCATTAGTATCAGGTAAAAATGGTTTTACTTTTGATTCACGTGCCATGTCTTTTCTAGATGAGCATGCTTCCTGATCAAACGCGGAGCTGGCCGTGGAAAGATGACTTTTATTCCTTCGAACATTAACGTCTTCAATATGTAAGTGAGGCTGAATCTCCAGTTCATAGCTGCTATCTCCCTGGTAACAAACACAGTGTAATATTTACTATAAGTACATACAAGGCTTACAAGGACTTGGCATAAGGATATTTAAAACTCAGACTCCTAAAGGTTATGAGAAAAAAAAAAAAAAAAGATGAAAGTATTTTGCATTTAAGGCCACAACTTTCAAACAAAATGTTTGCTGGCAGCAACTGCAAATCCATGCTTGGGTAGTCAAACCTGAATGTTTTAGAAATATCAAAAGATACCATGCATAAACAAAGATGCCATTTAGCAGAGCACAAATGCACAATATTCTGCACTGAGCATCTGTGCTGTGCAGTTAGGATGTAATTCTTAGAACATTAACAGCATTACAACATTGGCAGCAAGCAGCTTCACTTTGCTAATAAAATGTGCAAGGTTTTATTTCCTCAGACAGGCTAACGCTTACAGGCTGTAGTTCTGGGAGGACTAGCAAATTGAGAAAGGTGCTGCGAGCAGAAGAGACCCTTACTCAAGCACAAGGGAGCCGAGAATTCTCTGTGCTCTTTGCACTGCTGTTTGTAACCTGGCTGTTGCCATTGATGGCACATTAGGAACTTCTCACATACACTGAACATTTTTTTTTTTTTTTCTTTTGTTCCACAGATGCTGATTAATCTTCTGTTCAAAAAGGCACCCAGTGCTTTTAAAAATACACTTGAAAAAAGCACAATAGGCTTTGACTTCACTCCCAGTTAGGTATCCACACAAGGACTGCCTGGATTGAAAAGCCATTTATTTATTTATTTATTATCCTCTTTCTCTCTTTTAAATTAAGATTTTGAAATTAAGGCATGCAATCTCCAAAAGGAACAATAAGGGTTAAATAAGGATCTGAAAGGAATGGTTTGAAACACTCCAAAATTCAAACCTGTTTCACCACTAAAAAAAATCAAAATGAGGACGTAGCATCTAAACAGAAGGTACAATTATTTTTTTGGCAGTTCGAGCAGCTGAATCCTTAGACTCATTAATCCCTGAAATTAAACTTCATAAAATAGTGAGTGATAAAGTGGGCTTTTACAATAAGAGGTTACCTGCCTCCTATACAAGTAACGTTCTCAAAAAGTCTTGCCATATGTAAGTAGGAAAAACAATAAGGTCCCCATAATCACAACCTCCTGAACCATCCTCACTGTCCCATGAGAATACCGTTCAAGCAGTTCTACTTCAGCCTGTGCTAGCTGTGCTGACAGTCACTATTCAAACTCCAACAACATCTGTATCTCCCAGTAGCATCCCACCTTCCTCCTGCTCTTCACAAGCTCGACCCTTCACTCCCCGTCCCGTGTGCCCAAGCAACGGGCAGGCTCGTCCCCCATGGGCATAACCCTGGCCTGTATTCACAGAGAACGGGGCTCTTCGCTTCTTCATGGAGTTGCTAAGAAAGTTTCCAGAGCTGTTCTAACCAGTGACACCGTGACAACAACATCTTGATAAAACTGGGACCCCCGAGGTGTCTCTTCCAAAAGAGATGGTGAAAAAATTAAACAGCTGGAGTTTCCACAGACAGTAGACCTGGAGCTGCTGTTAAAACAAAGTTTTACTGTTAGACTCCTTATGGGAGCTAGAGGGTCAATCATCGAAAACAGGGTTTGAAAAATACTCTGGAAAGTCATTCCACCCCATTACACAAGGCAGAAATAACCATACCTAAAATTACCATGGCTTGGCTTATCTAAATGTATTCCTGCAAACAGGATTTGAGGGCATCTTCCAAGCATTTGAAGACTGATCCCATCCTAACAGAGTTTTGGATCCTGCCTGGTTGCAGTAGATAAAGCATACTATCCAGTATTAACAGTATCTTTCACTTTCAGTAACAATAATCATCATCATCAATGTTTAGATTTTATTACTAACTTCACACACACTCCCCCCGCAAGGATGATAAGCAGAATAAATAAGGCAGAACCTGTGCACAGGCTGTTTTGGTATCGGGGCACAGCTGGTTCCAATCCCGTTTACAGCAGTGACACCTGTGTCTCAGTGACAACGTATGAAATTTCTATATGGCTGGCATAGCACCGGGTAGGGCGGGGGGGACACGTTCAACTGCTAGAGATTCATCTCTAAAGGGCTGTGAAACACCTACTCCATTTGCCACTACAGAGGATGTTACTCAGCTGCTACACACTTATCGCCTAGGCCTAGGCTATCCATTCATAAACACAGCCAAAGAAACTCAAATTAGGAGTTTTTAAGAAGAGATCTCCAATGAGATCTCCAGATTATACAGGCTAACTGATAAGAAATCTTAATACCAAAATAGTGAAGAAAACAATTACTACGAAAGGGTTAAAGGATGATTTTGAAGTGTGTAGGTTCTAAATAATTAGTTTCCGTAAAGCTCAGTCAAAACACAGAATCAAGATATGGTATGAAATCAAAGGGGAGTAACAAGCAACCAAGATGACCTGGTCCAATTAGCTTCACAAATGTCATCTGAGGAGATTACACATTTGGTCGACAAGATAACAGTGTTGATAATGATATTATGTTTAGATTTATCTAAGTAACAACTGAATGTTGCATAACATTTCAATTAAAGTATCCAAGCATTATAAGAACACAACAGATATTAAATGGATTAAGGGTTGATTAGCTGCCAAGCCACTAAACCTTATTGAGACAGAAGTAGGTGATGCTCTTGCCTGGCCAATACACTGCTAAGAAGCGCAGCGCAGATCGTTCTTGGCCCTAGATTGTTCTGCATTAAATAACCCAACGTAAAGCAACCCAAAACTAATCGAACCTGCAGGAAAAGATGAGGGTTGTAAGTAGGTAAAAGGATAATTCAAATCGCAACTGGACCGGAGGTGGAGCGGACGGGAACAAACCCTTTCTGTTCGCGTATGGCCAAACACAGAGTTGCATGTTTAGGATGGTGAGAGGGAAACGAACCAGATCACGTCACCCAACGGGCCTGAAGAAGCTCCAGTGAAGTTCCTGAACTGGTAATGCTGGTAGGTAATCTCTTGCTTACGTTCCTCAGGAACTAGGAGGTGGCAAATGTGATGCCATTTCTTAATGCTCAGGGAGGAAGCTAATAGGTTGCTCACCTCATCTCCACAGTGAATAAATTAGTAGAAGCTATAGCAGATAATAGAATTACTGCATGAGTCTTCTTCAGAAGTGTCAATAGTGCGTCTGAAAACAAAAAATCAGACCTTACAAACCCACTGGGTTTCTCTGGAGAGACTAAGAAGCAAAAACACGGAGATGCTCTCATGCATACCACCTTCCCAGCTTTCTGAAAGGCTTCCAAAAAGTCCCTGCCAAAATCTTGGAAGGAACTTAAACAGAGAGAGCAAAACAAGGAAATTTCTTACATGGATAAGTAACCGGGTACGACACACAAAACAGGAGGTGTGAGGAGTTGTTACACTGGAGAACTTCATTAGGCCACTGCACATACCCATGATTCTGTCCTAACTTGGAGGGAGAAAAAAAGAGAAAGAAGTCTAGCAGAACTGCTGTGTGCCAGGACAACAGTCCAGAAGACAAATTTAGCATCTAGGACAACCTTCAGTAACCTAATTTCAGGCATAGAGTTATATAACGTCTCTAGTTCAACTTAGTCACGAGTCTAGTTAATACTGGTGGATCGAAAGGACAGAATTATAAATTATCACATTTTAGCCTGAATGTATACAACTTGTAGAATCTTAAATTACCTGATCAGCTCTTCTGTAACCTAGAAAGCTCCAGTGTGTACCAGCGACTCAGTAAACAGGTCATGCAGGAGTAGAAAAACAGGCATCTCTCTTATATTACTGTACTAAATCAATGCTTAGAATTACTCATTTAGTTTAAAAAGCAATAGGTTTTTTAATATAGAAAATAAAAAGGAAAAAGTAAACCTAAGATATTAAGATTTTCATTTTTAATATATAAATATACATATAAATACACGCACACACTCTGTTTTCTAGCATTGAAATCTAAGGCTTCTACTATCAAAATTAAAATTGATCTCCCCTTATAAGGTGCTTTGGATGTACGTTTTCTAACGAGATTCAGATGTCTGCCAAAACCCTGCTGCATTTGCTATTTAAAAAGTCTGTAAACAGATACAATATAGATTTTAACAATTATAACTTCTTTAATGGAAAACTGGATTGAAACAGAGGTAAAGGCAGCATGAACAACTGGCATTTAAGTCTTTTCTGACACAAGCCAGAACCTACTTTCAGAGCAGTTTTTGGTTAGATCTAGAGAAGAAAGGCTTCTGGATTTTCAGCTTTCATTCCGAGTGGTAAACCCCGTGGAGTCAACGCTGCCAATACAGTCACATGGGTATATTTTCCAGTTAACATGCTTTAGCATGAATATTAACAACAATTAAAACAGCAAGGCTGGTGGTTTTCATGCAGTATTTTGCATGAGTAGGCAGAGCAGATCTCAAAGCAGCCTATCCCATTCTCTCTGAATGACAAGTGGTTACAAATTTTTCCTTGGAGATGATCGGTTGATCCCTAAATACTCAAGGGAAAACCCTTGTGCTTGCCCTCACACGCGATCCTCAACACCTGGAAGACACCCTTTTGTGTATTCTGGACGACAAAATGCCGTGCCTCAAATGCTCTCAGCCACGACCGTTCTCCCCCACTCCCCACAAACACTTTTCTAGGGTTTACGAGTATCTCCTAGGCTGCAACTATTGCTTTTCCTGTATGGGATATGTCAGCGCCCGCTCGCCGCGGAAGCTAAACTGCACTTCCATTGCAATGGGAGACTCCTGGAGGTCGAGAAATCGAAGCGTGCAGTCCTCCTCCAGCTCCTCTCACTCCTACAAAGACTGCTTCTGCTTTTCAGGAATCCTGCTCACCCGCTTCACAAACTGGGCTGTAGGCAGTAAAATATTATGGTCCTCTCTGAAATGGTTTAAAACAAGAGTAGGTATTATATAGTATTTATTAGCGCCCAGTAACAAGACTGAAACACAAGAATGCAAGAGGACAAACACCCCCAGCCGTCAGACAAAGGCTG